GGTGTGAGTGTGGTGTGGGTGTGGGTGTGGTGTGGGTGTGGGTGTGGGTGTGGTGTGGGTGTGGGTGTTTTGTTATATTCATCTTATACCCGCGCCCACACTTTCATCGACACCCACCGTCACACACGCCCGGACCCCAGTTATATTAAATGAATTGATCATGAGCAATTAAACATAATCAACTTCATCCATATGATCATTCGGTAAGATATTTTGCAAAAAATATTTTTCGATTTTTTTCTACTTTTATTTTGTTCTTAGGTATCTTAAGTAGAAGATGCTCAATAACATCATGAACAAATATTGATTTATATAGTTCCAAGAGAAACATTAAATAGTAAAATACTATGCAACTTAAATTCTTTTAGTCTTCATGACAATTTTTGCATTCGCTTGCACACAATAAAAAAGCGAGACGCGTGGATAGAAAATGTCTTGTTGTACTTTTTTATTTTATACAAATTAAACATACAGAAGAACTATAAAATCAATGTGAATTTTTCAATATTTGACATATTAAATAAAAACGGACACAATACTATAGGTTTTAAATATTTAATTAAATAAGGTGAGTGTGGGTATAGTGAAAATAAATTATATACTTTCATCAATTCATATATACTCATACTCTCAAAATACATCCCGAGTTCCAATGAAATTTATACCAAACTGTCAGATTTGATTGACGACATTTTATAGATATTTCCAGCAATACTGTTCTATTCAAATCATTCTCAAAAGCATTTTTTCCCCTTTCATCCAAAGATATGAACAATTCTGTTACAGATTCGATTCCTGTAGTGTATGATCCTACGATTTAGTTTAAAATCTTTATCTTTTAATCATATATATATTTTTATAAAACGCAAATGTTAGTATAATGTCAATATTCAAATAAGAAAAACACACGCAAACCAATAGTCTTGGAGAGGAATAGAGAAAAATGTTAGTCAGGAACAAAAAAAAGGTTAGTTTCACATCTTGATAAATAGCTTGATTATAAAATAAAATAAAATAGTGTCAAATGTTCGAGACAAGCGAAAATTGTCTTTAACGTCGAAGAATATTTTTCATTCGTTGTTGATGTCTTGTTTTTGCAGCGGTGTTTGATGGTTTGAACGTATTCGAGAATTTTGTGAAAGCAGCATACATTGCCAGAGTTTGTATAGGCATAAAAGCAATCATCATAATAGCTGACATAATTGCAACTGGTTGTTTACATGCATTTTCCTAATATATATATATATATATATATTTATGTAAAGAATATCAATCATAATTAAATAGAAACTTACGAAATCTGCTGGATAAAAAACAGGAATAGTCGATTCAGTAGTTACACCTGTGGTGGTTGGACCTGCTGTTGTTGGACCTAGAATACAAATTAAACAATTATAAAGTATTCTATCAAAAAGAAGTATTTTATAGAAGAAGTCCTGATATGATAGTGAAGAAGAAAAGCTATTTCTTACCAGCTGTAGTTGGAGGTGTGGTAGTGACAGTTGTTGTAGTCGTAGAAGCATTCGTACTAGTTACTACTATTCCACTTGTTGTACACTATGGAAAAAGTGTAATATTAAGAATGAAATAAGAATTTAAATAAACTTACTGCAGTATTGATTGAAGTAGTAGTTGTTCCTAGGCTTGTAACTGTATGAGTTGTTGGTGGAGTAGTGGTTGTTGTAGTTGTACTTGAACGTGCTGGATTCCAGATATCGAATCTCCAAAATGTTTTATCAGTAATGGGTGCCGATTCAGCATCTTTACAATTACATCAATTATGATAAAATATTTAATCTTTTACTTTCACAAAAAAAAGACTTACGACAAAAGACACTTCCACTAGCAAATCCACTATCCATTGTGACATAATAAGATTGCCCAGGTGTCCATGTTAAAGTTGTAACAATTACAATTGTATATCCAGTATAAATAACATTTGGAGAATATCCAGCATCATAACATAGAACTGATGCATTTGTAGTGTCCAAGTGAAAACAGACGTTTGTTCCATTACGAGAAGGGCGGCCAACTGCACTTGTTGCTGTGTAATTAAAGTAGAAGATAGAGAATAAAAGATTAATTTAAGAACAACGGCAAACTATATGTCGGGAAAATGCCTACCTTGTATGGAAAATAGTGACTGGTTTGAAAAGACAGTGCCTATTGGACTTGCTGATCCTTGTACCACTTTAGGAACAATTAAATTTGGTGATTCATAGTCAACTAGATATGTAATACACCATGGAGCTGATTGCAGACTGCTATTATCAATTGCACCAGCACAAAAGCTTTGAGGACCAGATTGTATTGCTGTAGGTGTCCATGTCAATATCATTGTCCATAAATCTGAGATATTACATTTGAAATTGAAAAATTTACACATTCTAACGAACTACTATCCACTACTTACTGGGACTTGGATTGCTAATACCACTATGTGTCATTCCAATAGGTGAACTAGTGACAAGATCAACAATTGTTTGACCAGGACAGTATGTTTGTATCTCTACAGTTTCAGTGAGCTGAACACCTAGAACATAGATTGTAAGTATCAGAAAAGAAAAGATATTAGCAGCACTTACCAATTGGAACTCCAATGCAAGCTAAAGAGAATGAAATAGATGAAAGAAAGTATTATTAAATGTATGAGTTTAATTTAGAATAAAATATACATTCATACCTCTATCAGGGCGGTCACCAATAATTGAGGGAGCAGTTGCACATGCACCAGCAGAAGGATTGTATCCATAGAATAAGAATTGTATTGGAACTGAGCTCATTGGAATCGTGTAAGTAGAGCTAAAGAAATCTTCGATTTGAAGTGCACAACCATAATATTGATTAGCATTTGGTAGAGTGAAACTCAAAGTACAATTGGCTCCAGTGAGTGTAGTTCCAGGGGGCAGTCCGGAACAGACACTTCCACACTCATCAAATTGATTGTAATTGGTTGCAGAATTTGAATTAGACCAACGACATACCAAATAATCAGTAGCATCATTATCTGCCATTTGTACAACATGAGTTACTAATACACCTCTTTGGTAGAATACAACTGGTAATGTATTTGTAACAGGACTGGAATTGATATAATTATCAGGTCTCAGCGCTAGATTCAATCGATTAACAATTGACCATATACCACCACCCTTATAGATTTGAGGCATGACCAACCATGCAGTCGAGTTATAGCCAATTGTAATTGATGTTGTCAAAAGTATTGAGAAATTATCGTAGCGTTCACCGGCCCATGATAAAATCATCAGGTTTGTATCACAATCAGTAGTTGTCATACTAGTTGAAAGTCCAGCTGAAGGATAGTTACTACTTGTACAGTTTTTCACACACTTCAAAGAATCATAGACTGGAATAGGTGTTTTATTAATAACATCCGTTTCTGAGCACAAATATGGATTAAAATACTGTCGATTCCAAAAATACCTTTGGTGTATTTGAATTTGTATACTGGTACCCGATGCTGTATTGTTAAAAGGACGCCTAAGAATAAGAAGAAGAATGTAAAAGATAAAATATGCAAGATCGATTAGAAGAACAAGTATTATTTGAGTATACTTACCATGAAATGATACCACCACGAAAATGGCTTCCATCAAGCTCAGAACATAGTGTAAATAAAACAGAAAGAACACGGTATAAAACCTGTTCCATATTGTTCGTAATCAACTGTTATTTCTTCTTTATATAATGAAATAAACGATCGGACAACAAATTAAGATTTAACGTTCGCGTTTCTAAAATGACTATAGAATGTACTTTTTTTTTCTTATTTTATACGTGCGTGTATTTGTCCTCGGAGTTCACAAGAAAAATGTATTAATAGACGATCATGACATGTTTGTTTTTTTAGACGAAAAACAAAAACGAAATTTTAATGGAATATTGCTCAACATTCATCCGAGAAGAATCAAGCAATAGAGAATTTTGTATGATTGTTTATTTTATCAACTCTTTCTCTCTCTATGATTTCACTACAGGTACAAAAAAATGAAATTTAAATGGTAACCAAGATGCAAATAATTTTGAATCTATTATTTTTGTATTGTTTTGATGTTATGGAAACACAAACGGCAGTATGTGCGTAGAAGAAAGTTTAATCCATGACTTCTTAACACTGATGCAAGAAAAATCAAAGAATAGAAATATTATACATTTGTTTATTTTATAAAATCTTTCTCTCTCCACAATGAGAAAAGACATGACATTCTAATGATAAATAATATGCAAAATAATTGTGAAATCTATTGTTGTTGTATGGTTTTGATGTTGTGAAGAGACAGAGGATAGTGTGGTCGTGGTTTTATATAATTTTCTGACACCCTCATATCAATGTAGAGACGTGCAAAACATGAACTGTTCGCAAGATTATATCAACAATTTCTAAGATTTGGCAAAAAGTGAGATATCTTTTCAAATTTTTTGGACTAGGCTCTGTAAATTACTGACTCAAAATTCTTCTTGTTTCTACAACAAAACATTCTATAGTAGTATGTTTCTTTGGTGCTGAGAAGTCTCTCGAAAAGCAATATGCTAGATATATATAGATTATTCTCTTAATTATTTTATTAATTTAAAAAGAAGTAACTTTGTTTGTTGCATTTATTTGAAACTATGCATAATTCCCTTTTCTAAAAGAAAGGATTATAGGTACGTTAAAAATCGTTAACGTTTGTTTGTCCAAGCCGACCAAATTGCAGCATTTTATAAATCAATGAAAACCTATCGATGGTCATCAGAGAATAATTAAGCAAAGGGTTTTCGAGGTATAGGAACTCAAACCTGTTGTTAGTTTTTGCAAACTGTACAAGTAAAAAGTCGAATAGTATTGTAGAACACGTTTTCTACAAGAAAGAGCTGAGCGAGTCGCAAGACGAGCGTTACTTGTTAGCTAAAGAGAGAATTAATCGATGTAGTGACATCATTGAGTTCAGCTAAGTTCATATGTACTTGAAGAGACCTCGACATAATTAATTTGTTCATAATATCTTTTCAATGCTTAATGAATAAATCTTTGCATGTAGTTTTTTCTAATTATATTTATTATTCTTTTCCAGAATTATGGTTTTCAATATCGACTAACACAATAAGAAAGCTTCAACATCTTTATTCCTACTATTCATAAAAAATATTGATAGTTATACAGCAAGTTATTTTATGACAAATTTTGAGTCAACTGTTTGTTTGAAGTATGTTTTCTAAATGATAAAAAATTAATATCTCAGAAAATATAAAGTTTTAATCAACGGATGTGATAAGAGGCTTAATTTTCTTGAAATTATTTTGAAAATTGAATAAACTTCTGCTTCATTTCAATTCTTCATTTATTGGCATAGAAATGGAGAGGTGAAGAAACAAAGAAAAGAAAAATCGACAACTTCATATTTCCATCGCCATGACATTTTTATTTACATACTCTTCTTCTGCCAACACATTTGTTACTGACTGTATCGATAAGAACGAAAAAAGATGCCAACAATAATAAAAATACATTACTATTTTGCTTTTTGTTTGTTCGTTGCCAGTGAATTAATTTTGTTGATCACTACCTTAGTAAAAGACCTCATACCGGAGTACTCAAAAAGTACTCACGCTAGAAAATGTCACGAGAACTATGAGTACTTATAAGGTTTGAGTACTCGTATGCTGTATTTATCATGAACGTTAAGTATCCGAGTACTCTATTGGTACATTTCGTATACGACAATATTCGTATTAGTTTTTAATTTATTGGTATAATCTGATTTTTGCTCATGTAACAGTTGCAAGATTGAGGGTGTGGGTGTGTTTTATGTTAGTTACTTTTCAGAAACCATCTAAATTATTGATCTGCGTTTTGTAAAAATAAAATGATTAATCGAATAACAGGAAGAGAAACAAATCACTGAGCCGCTCAATATCAGTGCAAACTTAACATTTATATATTAGTCAATGTTGAGAAATCTTTTTACTGAAAAACTATAATCAAACTATGTGGAAAATGATTGATCTCGTTCAATTCTTCTATCAGAACAAACTGTATGAAGGAAAGAAAAATAAAGTAAAACTTGCATTTTGCTTCCTCATCATTCTGCAGGATTCATTTCTGTATAATGATGACAGTTTTCTAACGTAGCATTAACATTCAATAGAAATTGAAAACACATCTAGAGGATTTTAGTTTTTATGACAAGCTCGTGAGTTATCTTAAGATTGATAGGATTGCCAACAAGAACAGCTAAAATCTTGATGTCATCAATAAGATAATTAATTTCCAGGGCTGTCTTAATATTGACATATGACACAAACAAGGTCATATTATAATCTACATCGCACTTTTTTCATGTCTTATTTTTCAATACGCAAAAATGGAATGTTCTCAAAAAGGATATTTTGTTAACTGATAGGGAACAAAAATTATTCTTGAGTGACTGTCGAATGAAATGAAATGATCTCAGTAATTAATTTCTCGATAAGTCACCTTTCTTCTAATGAAAATCATTTCGATAAATATATATTATATTACAAACATATATGTTAGATTTAGTCATATGAATTTCATTAATTTAACGATTACATTGACAATAATTAGTTGAAATAAGAAAATAAAATATATGTAACGATATAATAAAGAGTTAGTCATTTTCATTAGGATCCATGTTTGTATTGAATGATTCTGGATTTTCTGGACCAATTCGATTATTTTTAATAGCACAACAACAACATTTCCATAATTGCCAATATTTTTTTAATAAAATTGATTTTACTTGACGACGAAAACGTGATGATAATATTACGTAGATATAAAAGCTAATCTATAAGAAATGTAAATATTATAAATATAAAACAAATATAAAAAAAGACAGGAATTTACCGTAAAATTTAAATTAAATAAAAAAAAGAGAATAACATAAATTAATCGTCCTCTTGCATATTCCATTGGTTTATTTGGCAAATTGGGATAGTTGAAAGTATACATACGATAACTAAGATAAGGCAGTGTTAAAGAAAACAGAATTATGATACGTATAGCAACCATTGCTGTCATTTGTCGATCTAATCGACGTCGAACAATTGTTAGTTGTCGACGAACTATACGCCGAACATTACGAAAGGCTAAAAATCCAAAAAAAGATGCAATAAAAACAGGTATAAGGCCAGATAAAAGTGGAACAACGAAGTATGTTGAAAATTGAAGATATATATGATTCGATATATTGCATAGTAGGAATGATTCAATATTGAAATACATGCAGAATATAATAGAATGAATGATCCAAATACAAATAGATATACCAATAAGATATCGAGCTGTTTTTATAGTACATATTTGTCTAAAACTAAATCGATTGTGTGTTGAAAAAAATTGATCAATAGCAGCAAAAGCTACTGTGTAAGATGATGTCAATACCAGCAACTGAGCGAGGAAATATCGAAATCTACACCAGATAAGAGAACGACCTGTTGCATCATCTCCATATATTGATGTTAGAATAGTGATGGCAAAGACAATCACTCCATAAAGGAAACTGAAAAGCGATTCAACCGTTAAATAGAATGCACATTGATTATTTCGAAAACATTTCAGTTGAGTGAATACAAAGATATTTAAGAAATTGCCAATAATACTCAATGTAAATGTAATATGACCAGTGGATATGGAAAAGTTATTAGCGATTGCAAGGATTTCTGTAGACATGGCTGTGCACTAATGTTTTTCTTTGAATGATATATTCTTCATTATTTATTCATTTTCCTTTCTACCTAAAGGCTTAATATTTAATAATCTAAAATGATATAAGATAAAAAAAACATTATTACTCTGCATTTTCTAAGAGCTTTTCTTTAAATTACGCATCTATATATTAATAAAATTAGTTTTCATAAGTAATGTTACCTTATTTTGAACACTTGTAGCACAATTCTCCGCTACATAGTTTTATATATGAATTTATTAGTTCTGAATATCACAGTATAAATAATATAAAGAGAATGACTGATATAATATACTAACGGATATTTTATCTTTGAACAAATAATAAGATTCATAAAAGCTGTTCTTTCTTATTATTCCATCATATTTTTTTTATAATAATCAATTTTCAGAATAATTAAGTTTTTGACACCATAATTTATGTTCTTGACACATTTTTCTCAAAGGTGGATCTGCATTTTTACTTTCTCTACCGAATGACATACTCCTAGAGGAAATAGATGAGAATAACGAAGCAATATGAGTGCAATTCTGGACATGATGTTTTGCTTCACCATCTAAAATTTTCTCATTATTCTAATACCTAGAGGCTTTAGAGATTATAAGATACAAGCGTGGGAAGTTTTTCATAAAGAATTAATTGATATGAAAACAAACGTCTATATTAATTTCGATCGATAGGACTATATAATATCATCTAATTTGTTATACATGATTACCATTTTTCTAGGTATGAAGAAAAGAAAATTTAAAGTATGTGAACCAAGATCCATTAATATCTTATCATCTCGTGTTGCTACTGTACCTTGCATTTCGAATTATGCTTCAAGACTTTTCCCACTATATATAAATGGTCAATAGTTCTCACATTAAATGAAAATATCTTACAATTTCTATGATAAACTTTACATTATTCAAATAAAATTATAATAATTCTCCAAGATCCTCTCAAAGCAATAGTTTTCAATGGTCTTATATTCGTCCTATTGATCTGTAAATAACATAGCAATTTATCATGATTTTATAAAATTTACCATTTTTTATTGTATAGAAATTAGAGAAAAAAAAGTGAGGTCATGAGTTTGTGTCGGAGAGTTTGAAATTTCAGTTTGATGATAACCGACACATTCGGACCTCGTTTCTATCTATTCTAGATGTCTTATATATATTGTATTTCAATTGATATTGTGCAATAACTTTCATCGGAAGAAGGAAAGAAAATGCATTGACTATGATTCATCAATGATATGAGGAATTATCATTATAGATGACTCATCGTTACATACACTGATTAATATTGTATAAGAATTTATCCATTATAAGACATAAATATCTTCATATATTTTTTAGTTTTTCTTTGAGACAGAAAAACGTTATAACTTTCACCAATTTTATTCTTGAAACAAATCCTTTTCTCATGAATTAAAAAAATCTTTTGTTATCAATATTTATTGTAATTATCAAGACGAACTAATATTATTGTAACAATTTATGATTCGTTGCTATAATCTTTCCTAGTGAAATGATCACAATACCTTTCACTACTTATGTTCTTTTTTCCTAGCACCTTTCTTCATATATGCAAGCACTTCGAAACTATACTATTAGTTTGTTTTTATGTATGGCGTACTATAATCTTTGTTCTCTTTCGAATTTTGTTGTTACATCGTCTAATTTTCTGTTATTGTGTTGACTGTCGTTTTTCATAGTATATAGGAGACAAGGAGAGTACAGCTTAGTTACGATTGTTAGTATTCATGAATTAATTATTTCATTACCTAAGGTATATTTATTTTTTCTATTGAATTTTTTATAATATACTGGTATCCTAGGGTTATAATACACACTTGTGCTGTAAAAGGTGGTTAATTATCAGGTACATAAAAACAACGAAATAAATATATGTTATTTCAGTTGTTATTGCTCGAGCATTCATTCGTTCACTCAGAATTCTTCTTCTTGACGAAGTAACATTAGCATTAGATAAAGCAAGATCTGGTCGACCATGTTTGACTATTGCTCATCTTTTGTCAACTATCCAAAAATTGCTGTTGTCGATCGAGGCAAAATGAAAGAACAAGTTAGTGTACTTCTCATATATGTTGATATTTATCTATAAGGTACACATGATGAACTTTTGAAATTAAATGGAAGTTATACTAAACTAGTATTAACACAACAAAAATCATAACTAGTGTATTTATTAAAAAATGATTAATCTCAAATATATATAAAATAACCGATTGTTATCATGAAGTTTATTTTTATTAAAAGCCATTATTAAATAAATATATTAGGATAAAAAAATAACATCAAAGTTTATATTACTAGAAGCTAATGAAATGAGATATGAAACACATACAAATTGATACTTGTAGTTTTTCGAAAATAAATTATAGTGAAAAGGTTGAAACATAGACAAGGACAAAGTTTATTCATATAACTCTAAGACTATTTCAATGGAGAAAATCACTACTTTTTATAATTTGAAATATAAGTCTATTCATTTGGTTGTCAAATTTTATTTTCTTGTTTTTGCTTGTTCTGTATCAAATGCTTTTAAATGTACATACGAATAAAGTCCAGTCAATAAATCTTGTATACCAAAAATCACGAATGATGTTTCTAAAGAACTAAAATCAAGAACAGTAAAAATTAAAAGTAATTCTCTAATTAAATAGATTTTACTAGACATAGATTAGTATGACCATGAGAGGGAGTACACATATACGTCCAGTCACGCTAGCTCTTCATAAGAAAAGAAAGAAACATTTTTTTTTGAAATTGAAAATCAAGTTGTATTACCTAAAAAATGGAATTAATGTATTTTTTCCAGCAATATAATAATAATATCCAATAACCATTAAACCTAAACCCGCTACTCGAGCATATTGTTCTGCTTGAGGTGATTGAAGTGGTAATAAAAATAATAGTTTTGTTGCTAAATTTGGAAATATGAGCAATGCAAAACCTTCTAACATAGCCAAATAACCAAAATAAGTAAAACTATTTTTCAACGATTGTTCAGCAGACATGTTTTAATAATCTAAAATTTTCTTTCGTCATTTTCAAATCAAATTCATAAACAATCGAGATATATTCGAAAAGGATTAAAGAATGATGCTCAACATAATAAATACAAAAACTATTTAAAATTATTTAGAAAATACGAAGTAAATGGTGTTGTTGATTGTATAACGATACGTATATATAGACGCATGTTGTATGAAAAATTATTATTTTTTCTGTTCTGCACATAGAAAGTATTTCTGTGTATAGTGTGATGCGTTTGCTCGTTTAGCGTCATCTTTTGTACTTGTCATAAGAGAAAGAAAGTAAACATGTCAAACAAAGATGTAATGAAAAATATACTAGATGGCATACGAGTCGAGACTCGTCTGCGAAATGCGAAGCTCGATTTCGAAACAACGATTTTGAGGTTTTCATAAAATGACTGTTTTGAATACGTACGTCGAGAAAGTAAGAAAGAAAACTCACGAAGGACTCATAAATGCTCTGCTTCACATCGTATTAATAATATCTTTTTTACTGATTCTATTGCGCTAATCATAAAAGTTAATAATCATAATAAAAAAAAGAAAAATCACGAAGTCTTTGGTAATGCTATTGAACATATTTTAAAGTTTTGATTTAACCATTTGGTTTAATAATTTTTCTAATTTAAGTGCTGTTGATAAATCACCTAAAGAAAATAAAGCGTATATTTAAAAAAATTATATCATTATTAAACGATAAAATATACCTTGAATTTTTAATTTACCACTCATAAATGCTGCTGTTGGTTTTAATTTTCCGGCAAACATTGATTGAAAATCAGATTTAGACATTTTAAATGTACATTGTGCTTTACCAGATGGTGGTTCACCTTGACCAACACTACCATTATCATTTTTCATATCTAAATACAATCGATCTCCTAAAATACAAAGAAAATATAATTTTGCTTTTTCGAAAATTAATTATTAAAAATAAATTAACCTTGTAAATCAAATGTATAAACACTATTGATTTGTTTTAATAACTCTGGAGTTAATAATGTTTTAATTTTATCAAATATTTGTTCGACATTCGCCGTTCCTTCACTAGCATTTATTTCTGATTTTTTTCCTGACATTGATGATTTTTCACGTTGCATTTGCGAGAGATTGTCATCACAAAACGAAATAAACATAAAATCAGTTGTACCAGGTATAACAGCATATTGATCAAAATCAGTTACTCCTTGTTGTCGAAGTAATGTTTCATCAATAAAAAAATTACCTGTACATGATCGACTATCTTGTGTTAAAATTGCATAAGCAGCATCAGCCATTATTTCTGGCCGTCGACATCGTTTGTGATAATCACCACCAGCAATTAACTTTATTGCATCAGTATCAATAGCTAATTAAAATAAAATGTATGTTTAAAAGAAAAGAAAATAATTATGTATATACCTGTTTTAGGCCATAATGTGTTAACAGCAATGCCAGATTCACGCAATTCAGCTGAAAGACCAAGAGCAAATAAAGACATATTATATTTTGCAACAGTATAAGCAACATGTGATTTAAACCAAAATGGATTTAAAGATATTGGTGGCGAGTTCATAAGAATATGAGGATTGGAAGATTTTTTTAAATATGGAATAGCCACTTTTGAACTCAAAAATAAATGAGAGATTGTTAAGAATATCTCTATTCAGTTAAATAAAAATAATATACCAGAGAAAAGTACCACGTGCATTAATAGAATGCATTAAATCATAACGTTTCATTGGTGTTGATGGTGTATCGGTTAATGATATAGCTGATGCATTATTAATTAAAATATCAATACCACCAAATTTTTGTACAGCTTGTTCAAATGCTTTAGTAACTTGTTCTTCATCACGAACATCAACAACACATGGTAAACATTTGCCTCCGGCTTTTTCAACTAAATAAATTCAATAAAAAACTGAATACGTTTATCATTTATAAAAAGATATTTTTACTTTCTTCGGCTGCTGTATAAATTGTTCCGGGTAGTTTTGGATGTGGTTCAGCTGTTTTAGCCGCAACAATAATATTAGCTTTATCTCTTGCACATCGTAAAGCAATTTGTTTACCAATACCACGTGATGCTCCCGTAATAAAAATTGTTTTACCAGCTAATGATCTTTGTAAAAGAAAATATACAATTAATTTTTCTTATCAAAAACAAAAACATCATTTAACTTACGGCATATTAATACAAAGGTTGAATTATGAAAACGAAAAACTATCTGAAAGAAAAATCGATCAAGAAATTGTATATAAGATAATTTAGCTTCTGATATTGTTCTTGACCACTTTTAAAACTAGAAACTAAGATTATAAATCGAAAAGGATATTTCATTGATGATAAACAATACAAACGCAGCAACTTGAGAAAATGCTAGTAAACCATCAGATGGTACTTGTTGTTAATTAATATATTTAATTACATATTCCGATAATTCGTCAAAACCTCGACCACATGATGTCGTGGCTAATAGATCATAAATTAGATCAGCAGAAGAAAACTAACAATTTTTAAAAAATAAAATGAAACTTCAGATTTATTCATATATAAAATTATTGTTAAAGAATTATATTTGAATAAATTTATTACAATTAAATTAATTCGCAAGTTTCAACTGAAATTTATGAAGTTATCTACTATTTCGTAGTTTTTATAATACATATACAATTCGATTATTTCAGTTAAATATCATCATTCATTGACATTCTTTATGATTTTTGTTAATTGTGAGTATTTAATATTCTAATTGATCTATCCACAATATTTATGAATACCTCTTTCATTTGTATCATCTTTAGTTATATTATCTTGCACCGGCATAGTATGCGGTATTCATTTTGTGGATAACCATATAAACAAAGAATACGTAATAATATCATACTAAAACAAGATGTAATTGAATACAAAACAAAAAAAATGATTAAGAAAAGGCGAAACACCATAATATATGGATGAGATCACGATTAAAATAAGGAAAAACGAAGCTATGAAATCTTCGTTCTTTTTTTTTTTGTTTTGGCTTAATTTTTAAACAAGTATATTGATATAAATGAAATAATGGGTAGGTGTGGATGTGGATTGGTGTCAGTGTGAATATCTCTCCACCCGCACTCTCAATAAGTATAATTTGTAAGTGAAATCTTACACAAAATTCATTACAAAGACTAAAATTAGTCCTTTTCTATAAAACAATTTGAAACAAAAGAGCGATTCTTCCCAATGGTGAGTATGCCGATAAACCATAAAATAGAGATATACTGTCGCTAGTAGCCATTCGTTTTATTGTAAAAGTTATAATGACATATGAACAGAAGCTCCACGTTGTTGCTGATCGAAATTATCGATAATTTTAATTTCATTCTACTATTGAAATATAAGTTTTTAGACATCTCTCAACTTTATCTATTTGTTCTAATTCAATAGGAATTCTTTGATATATCACAGACACATTTTCTTACTTTTGAGAACTGTAATATATCCGTATGAGAAAATAAAAATAACATTTGTATACAGACAAAGAAAAACAAACAGAAAAAAAGGTAATACACTTATTATTTTTTGCAAAGAGAAAAATTGTTAACTGTTAATAACAAATAAATATGCAAATGTAAATAAAAATATATAAACTAGATTATACTAGAATCAAGTATTTTCTGATGTTCCATTGCTGAGATAATCGTGACACAAAATGACTACTTTGAATACGGACGTCGAGAAAGAAAGAAAACTTACGAAGGACTACATAAATGCTCTGCGTCGCATCACGTTAAATAGAATACATATTACTGCTTGAAGGTAAATATTCCTTTTTGATCAAGTCATTCGATATAGAAGAAAAATATGATTCATGACATATGGACTGGTATTTATTTAGAACTCTTTTTTCTTATAAAATTTCTATTTTCACATACTACAAAAAAAAATAAGTTTTTTTAGTCAATATTCAATTTTTATTTTTGTCTTCATTCTATAGTTTTTAAATGGATGTTGTTAAGGTTCGGAAAGACGAGCTGAACGAGTAAGCCATCGTCGATAAGGATAATCTTGTTTATATGCTGTTGGAATCCAAATAGGACGTTGTTCTCGTATATATCGATGACGAAGTCGATGAAGATCAAGTTGTCGAGTTAAATATTCCGATAATTTATCTGTTTCATGTATATGATTCTTTTTCGTTGTAGTTTTGTTATTGAAACGAGCAGATGATGGTGGTGGTGCATGTACGTCATCAACAACATAATCATCACAAATGTTACAATAATGAACTGGTGATAATGTTCGAGAATAGAGAAGTTCTCGTTCTCGAATAAGAGCACGACGATAACAAATTGAACAATCTTCATAATATGTATTCAATGGTAAAACTGATGTACATATTGGACAAATCTCTCGTTCTAAACGTAAATCAGTTAACTCTTCACGTAAATTTGATAATTCATTTTGAGCTTTAGTCAAATCATAACTTAGTCGTGCATTTGTATTATCCAACAATATTTGGTTTGTTAAAGTTGGATAAGTTGGTACATAACTTACAGGTGTTCTCCAATAGTTGGTAGTTACTGGCACACAATACATCGTTTTTTCTTTTTCTTTTTTGTTAAATGCTGCTGATGAAGATAGTAAGAAAAAAAAAGTGACTCGTTTCTATCAACAGAATACTTTATTAACATTTTTTTTTTCTTTTTCTTTTCTGACAAATAAAACAACAATAACAGCCATTACCACAACAATCCTCCATCATCTCCTTGGATTCTTATTACTTGACAAAAGGTCGAACGTAATTTCAAGATGTTTTTTTTTATTTTTAAGTTAATAGTCAAAAACGAAACAAAAACAAAAAAGAAATGAATACATATTTCAATTATTAGCCTCAAGAAATGTATGGCGATAAATCCATTTTAAACAGATATATAATTGTCTATTCCATTTATCTTCTATATATTCATGACGAAGATAAAGTGTAGCAGGTGTCCATAAGTATTGCAAACGAAATATTTCCCATTCACGTAATAATTTATATCGTCTTGTTGCATTACGCATACGAGCAATCGCTGATAAATTAGCTATTTCCCCAACAGCCAAAGCTATTAGAAGAAAAACAAACAAAACAAAATCATGAATTATACTTCATATATATTTTCTTTTACCAGTTAAAAGATTATTCACAAGAGTTGTGATTGCTATACCAAATAGAAGAAATATAACAAAAATAACTGGATAAAGACTAATATATTTACCACTATCCAGACCAAAAAAACGATCTTCATAACCTGTATCTAATACCATAAATGCTAGAAAATGAAATTAATTTTTAATAGATTTTTTAAATCAAATATACCTGATTTAAACCAAGCAAATGGAATAGTTGAAAAAACTGGTTGATTTTGTAAAAGCAAATTAAAATGAACAGGTCAATACTGCTAAAACTAGAGCAAATCATAAGAATTTAAGCATAATTACATAAACACCAAATATAGGAATAAAACGAAGATATGATAATAATGTTGCCCAAGCTAGATAAACTTCAAAAGCACCAATTTGTCATTGATTATCATCATATAAACAAATAAAACTAAGAATAATAAAATCACTTCAAGATAAAGTCGCCATGCTAACGAACATCAATGTACACTAATAATTAATAATACATCTTTTAATACATGTATCCATAAGAGTATAATAAGTAATATTTTAAAAATTCGATCTGTTGGTTCTTTCATAGCTTCTTGAGTATTATATCTTACAAGTCGTTCAGTGATATCTACACAATTCTATAAAATAAGTATATATGATTTCGATTTCAAAGAAAATTATACAAAACATGTGTGTTCCATTCGAACGATATCCATTTGGAAATGAAGCATTTACTAATCGATAAAAATATTCTGGTTGTTTATTTCGTAACATAATTATTGTAAATAAAAATAAATAAGTACAATACATAAGAAATGATATTAAAAATAATGGTAAACCAAATTGTCTCTATTTAAGTTGTGTTAATTGATTACAAAGTGGATGATGCATTAATCTATAACTATGTTGAGTATTATTAACTTCTTTTTCATTATCTTTTAAATCAATTTGTTTAGCACATTTACACATTACTGATAGAACATTATTATATACTAATGTATATGATTGAGAAAAATTATTTTGTATTGTCCTATATGTTTATTATCAATATGTGTTATACAAATATCAAGTACACGATAAGCTAAATCCCGGCATATATGTTATTAATTTTCTAAGTGGTCTGTCAATATGTCGATAATGTATATCAAGTATTTGTGCATTACGTAAGAGATTTTTAAATAAAGAAATATTATTTAAATTTAATAAATATTCAACAAATAAACGATGGTAGAAGATCAAGCGAAATTCCGCTTTTACAATTTTGAATGTATTTTAAAAATATATCAAGTAGAGGAATACATGCGTCAATACCATTCGAACATTTTATATTTACACATTGAGCAACACAATGTAATGGTGTGCTGAAATTAGCATCTGTATATTCTAATAAATAATTCATAATATATATATGTCCATAAAGTATAGCAGTATGAAATGATGATTGACCATTTTTATTTTTATATCCAATTGAACGAATTAATTCACCATCAATTTTATCAAGATAAATATAAGGGTTTTGAATGGCATCAAGTTTATCAGAAGATTGAAGTAATAATGCACATATATCATATAAACTGAATCGAACAGCAAGATGAAGTGGTGTTTCATCATTATAATCTAGAGTATATATCATTGGTTCAATAAATTGTACAAATAAAAATGAATCTATTTGTATATTTATTTGTCTTGAAAGAACACTAAGATGTAATAAAGTACGACCATATCGATCAATTAATAGATCATGTACAAATGTATGACGATTAAGAATAGCATTAAGTACATATTCGAAACATTTCGATTGACCAGCATAAGCAGCTAAAAGAAGTGAAGTAAATCCATATTGTTTTTTTCACGTAAAGTTATTGTATTTAATCCATAATGACGTTCAAGAAGATATAATACAGTTGCTGAATATTGGTATCATTAGTTAAAATAGCTTTATAAATACTTTTATCTTTTTCTTGCCATCGATAATCATCGTGTGATAAATGTTTACAAAGTTCTTCAACTATTTGTTCGTGCAAATGAAAATGCATCATGTCCATCTCTTGTTTTCGCATTTAGATAATCAATTTTCGAATAAATATGAAAACTTGTTTTATGTGATTGTAATGCTGTTCGACCTTGATTATCATGTTTATTGATATTAACTAATAATTTTGATAATAAATAAATCAATAATGATTGTGTATCTTCATTGATTATTTTAGATCGAACTGCTATATGTAATATTGTTTCGCCATTATTTCCAACAGTATTAAAATCTATAAAAATAAACAATCGATAATAAAATTATATCTTAATTCGATTATTTATACCACAATTTTCATCAGCTAATTTACGACATATGTATAAATTATTATAATAAGCGATATAATGTAATACTGATAGATTATCTTTGTCAAGTACTTGTGCTAATACTTGAATAGTTTTCTTGATATTTGTATGATGAGGACGAAGATTTTCATTTGATGTTCGAGTGGCCTAAGAATATTAGGAAAAAAAATATGAAATCAATTTTTAGTTTATTATATAAATTACTTTAAGTAAAAGATCTAATAATCGAGTATTATTTGAACTAATCGATGCACTATTCATTATTCTAACGAAAAAAATTCATTTGAATGAAATAACCTTGTTAGTTGGTGTTGCTTGTGATTCTTTACTCACACATTACAAAAGTATTTTAATTTATTTATTAAATTAATTTGTGTAATTTCAATTACAAAAAAAATATTTTTATTTTATTTTTTGTTTTTGATTTGTTGATTTCGATTTTATTATATTGATAATTAATATTAACAAACTTCCACATACAGATATCATTTTTATTAAACCTGAATAACATGCTAACATCATTATAGAATCATTTCGTTTGGGATAAATTTCTAATACATATTTTTCAGCTATATTCTCAATATAATCTGATATCATATAAATCAATGGACTAATTATATAACGAGATCCTTTTCCTAAAGCTAAATTAGGTAACGATAATGAAAGAAAAAGTAAAAATGGTAAAATAAAATCCGTATAATTAGATAATCGATATGCATTACGTCCATCATTTCCTAACACTGTAAGAGCTTGATAACCTTCATCTGGAGTATAGTAATTCATTTGATCAGGTACAATTGGTAATGTATCTAAACCAGCTGATGTTGTATAGTTTTTCAATGGTATATAAAAGACATACAGATTGAGAATACTCAAAGACCATAATAATATAATCATATAAATATTCGCTAATGGTTTTAATAGATGATAGAGTTGCTTCATCGCGACAAAAAAAAAACAACTAAAATCTTATACTTTTTTTTTCTCTATTCTGACAGGTAAGATTAAATTCAAGGACAAAGTTTGGTTAAGTAGTTAAAAGTGTTTGTCTACGGTAAGTATGTGTTCGTGATATTAAAGGTATATATAATAACTGAAAATTTCAGGGTAGAAAAAAAGAAGATCCATCAAATGTTATTCTTAACTTAATTATAGCAGGAACTGATACTCTCTAAATATTCTTATTAGCTCTAATAGGATGGTCAAATTACATTTAATTTTAGCTGATAATTGAACTGAAATCTAGTTTCTTTTTTATCAATTAAAAATAAAAATAAACATGTCAAAGTCCACTTTTTTGTTATTAATGAAAAATTTATCTTATTTTTATTTACAAAATTATACAAAAGCATTGTTTATTGTCTCATTTGCAGACAATGTTGTCGTAGTAATTAATGACATATCTCGATAAATATCTGTTCGATTTTTAGCAAACGATTGTGTTGATCTTTGTCGAGTTTTAGTAACTTTTAATATTCGAATAAGTTCTCGACGATAGACACTTGCAGAAAAAATATAAAGAAAAAATGAAACAAAATAATCACATTGTTGCCATGTGAGAAAAACTATTCGTATAGCAAGCACAGTTGGTGTTCGTGTAGATGCTTCAATTGAATTCATACAATATATAATACCATAGGGAAGTACAAGAATAAGATGAACAACAATTTGTAATATTAACATTCGAGCTAATTGTCCTTCAGTACGACGTCGTCGCATAGAACCAGTCATAGGAAGTGCTCGAATAGATTGCCGACGAATATTAGATATCGTCATAAAACCAAATATCATCATTAAAAGAGGAAGTAAAACATAATAAAGAAATACTTGACTAAATATATAGATACTAATTAAGATATTTGTTTGTTGTAAACATTTATTATGAATTTCATTCCATTTATAAATAATTAACATTGGTGACATATAGATTGCAGATAATATAGTACCAGAGATGATATTTATTCTTGTTTTTTGTATTGTACTTCGTGAATGTATTCGACGTGATCTTGAACTTGAACAATAACGATCAAATGAAGCTAAAATAAGCATTAAATTTGCTTGAAATGGAATTAAAATTAATATATAAGCATGTATTTTACAGCCAATTTTTCCACTTGTCCAATCAATATAAAAACCATTTAGAAATAATGTTGGACATATCAAACAAGTGTAAATAGTATTAAATACAGCATAAGCAAGAAAATAATGTGTACATGGGGATTTACGAAGAACGCGAGAACATAGTACACGTATATTAATTATATTTGCAATGATAGCAAGAGAAAATTGTACAGGCTGTAAATAGATATTTGCTTGTCGTACTTGATCTAATAATTTACTCATATCTAAAATAAATGTCTAAATGTATTCTATTTCTGACATACAGATTCATCTTATACTCAAATAGATAGTCTTGTAAATAACAGATGAATCTATGTAATACAGTGTACTTATATAATCCATAATGACACATATTATAAGAAAAAGACTTCCTACGTAAATGACATTCGAAAAAATATTATGCTCATTTCTATAGAATTAAGGATGAGCATAGACGGAAATAGTATCGAAGAAAACAACGTCATTAAAAAAATATTCTGTTGTTATGTACGAGAGTACAACATGATCTCTTTTTTTTTCAATTTGACGCGTTGAGAAAAATATTCACCATCTATTGTATTCATACAGAAATCTTAATGAATTTTTCTCGTTGATGACGATAGTTAAAAAGACAATATCGTTTATTTTACTCACTTGTTTTGATTCTATATTTGTCATTCAGTAATCTATCTTCTGACAATTGTTAAAATGAACATGGAAAAAAAAGCTCAAATCTATATTCTCGTCTCTGTAATTTATTAATTATAAATCATCAGAAAAAATATAACTAGTAGATCAAACTAACATTTATCTTCAAACAAATGATGTCATAGGAAATGAGAGAGACTCCATGTCAATTTTTAGATGACTACGTCATTGCAGAAGCATAGTTATGATCATAATTAACTCGCCAACTCATTCGAAACATTAAATTGGATGTTTTTTTTCCTTTTTGTATTTTTCCTGCCTGCGCGCTTATCCAACATGCGATTTCATTTTCTTTCCTTTAGTAGAAATATAATAACTAGAATACCAGCGAACAAATAATTTATAAGCCAATCATACAATGTAAATTACTAATAAGTAAACAAATTATATAGGTGCAATGAAATACTAATTAAATCGATATTAGGTCAAGTATGTTTTAATAGTATAAAATTTTCTATCCAGTATTTTCTATTTAAAAGAATTTATCAGGATCAATGAGTGCCTATCAAAGCACTTTTTTTTTATACTTTCTACTTTGTAACCGAAGAAAATGAACTACAAGTTTAATGGTTTAAATAACTCTAAAAATAGTACGTGTTTAATTATTAAGACAAAGGACTCCGTAAGTATCACATCTCGATATGCTATTACAAATCAAAAAAAGATTAAATATATTGGATGAGTCTAGATAAAGAATCATTGTTTGAGAAAATTCATTATAATGTTGAAATTGATGTATATCTTAAACATTTTTTGTTAAAATGTTTTGGTCCATGTATCCCAGAACCACATAAAAAACAATATTGTTTCATACATGCACTGCACACCATCCAATTATCTTCTGTTATTTTAACATTGATCTTTTGACATATTTTACTAGGACATTCTCTCACTCGATTCAATATAACAGAACCAATAGCCGATTGATTATTAACTGCAATCATGAAATCATCTTCAATATTAATATTTATTTCTTCCGATTTTGCTTGTGCTAAACTAGATACTTCATTTAAATTTTGTTTAATTGTTTCTAATTCATTAAAATTTTGACCATCTTTAGCTAAAAAAGGATTTGCAGTTGATGCTGTTGATGTATCGATTCTTCTCCAGATAAAATGATATTTACATCCTACACAAAACATATGTGAACAACCACCATTTTTTTCGATTGGTATATGACAATTAGGACATAATTGAGCGTCAAGTAAATCAATACGTTGTGCAGACATTATTTCTTCTAGTAAACGATTTTGTTCAGAATATTTCATAATTATTTGACGATAATTTTGTGTAGTTATAGATTTTTCTTTATCATTTGTTTTAGTAAGCTGCATTAATACGGTTTGTTTTTCTTTCTTTTGCTGTAATTTGATTTGTTCAATACGATAATCTTTTAGACATGGTGTTTGAGAATGATATGCGTCCTTACATTTTTTACAAAATGTATAATGACATCGATCACACATTGTTAAATTATCATCATTAAAATTACTGAGAATAGGTAAATAACATCTAAATAAATATTTTGGATTATGAGTAATCGAGAACTATCTATTTTATATTTACCTAGGACAATAGACAATATCGGTCATTAAGTCAAGAGCATGTTGTAATGTTAATCGTTCATATTTTTCATATAATTCTTTATCTTGAAGAGTTTGTTTGACTTCTGTTGGAAGTAATGCATATTCACATTGATCTTGTGGACAATGAAGTTTATCGCCAAATTTTCCAGAATCTAAAGTCATTCGAATATAATTATTTAAACAAGAACGACAATAAAAATGCCCACAACGATAAAGACGAATACAATCGAAACCTTGAACACTATCTGTACAAATAGAACATATATGAAGTTGATTTTGAAATAAATTTTCTTCACGTTTATGATTATAATCAATTAAAGTAAGAAAAACTTGTTTATTATTTTCATTTGTATAACCATTTAATGCTCTTCGATCGTTTTCTTGTTGTATTAAAACAATCCAATCATATACACATACTTCACCTTTGTTAAATAGATAATTATCAAGTTTTTGACAAAGTTTTTCTAAGTCAATTGTTGAAAAATAAAAAAATGAAGGATAAATGATGGAGGATAATCATTTGGATATTGATCATGATATTGAATAATAAGAGATAATGGTGGTAAATATCGAATATGAGATATTTTATCATTGAATTGAATTGTAAATGATGTTGGTAAATCAAATTCAACTAAGATTTCATATAGATTTCCATTGAATAGACGAAAGTTTTGATCAAAAATTGATTGTAATGCTAAGATTTCATCGGCTTGTTTTTCACTATTTGTCATGATTATGATAAATGACGTACATGTTGAATACTGATGCAATAGTGGTATGAAGAAAGTCAAACTTGACTGACGTCATATCGACAGAACAGAAAAAAAATGATAAGAACTCAATAAATATTTTTTTTAAATGTCACATGTTACTCAGAGGAAAAAAGAATAACTTCTTAAAAACAAATTATAATTAAACAGCTGCACTAACTACTTTCTCATTGATGTCTAACACGGCTTAAGCGATTTTAATATTCGTATAAGTTGTTGTCGATAGATGTTTCCAGAGAGAACATAAAGAAAAAAAGAAAAAAAATAGTCGCATTGTTGCCATATCACAAAGACATGTCGTATGACTAGTATAGTTGATATTCGTGTAGATGGTACAAATGAATTTATTGTGTAAATTATACCGAATGGTAGAGCAAGGATTAGATGAACGCTAACTTGCAAACATAACATTCGAGTTAATTGTCCTTCAGTACGACGGCGTCGTATAGATGCTGTTACAAGTCTTGCACGATTCATGTGTTGACGAATATTAGATATCGTCATAAAACCAAATATCATCATTAAAAGTGGAAGTAATATATAATAAAGAAATACTTGACTAAATATATAGATATTAACTAACATATTTGTTTGTAGTAAACATTTATTATGAATTTCATTCCACTTATATATAACTAACATTGGTGACATATAGATTGCAGATAATATAGTACCAGAGATAATATTTATTCTTGTTTTTTGTATTGTACTTCGTGAATGTATGCGACGTGATCTTGAACTCGAACAATAACGATTAAATGAAGCTAAAATAAGCATTAAATTTGCTTGAAATGGGAGTAAAAATAAAATATAAAAATGTATTTTACAACCAATTTTTCCATTTGCCCAATCGATATAAAAACCATGTAAAAACTGAGTTGAGCATATTGAACAAGTATAAATAATACTTACGATAGCATAAGCAAGAAAACAGTGTGTACATGGTGATTTACGAAGAACACGAGAACATAGTACACGTATATTAATTATATTTGCAATGATAGCAAGAGAAAATTGTACAGGCTGTAAATAGATATTCGCCTGAAGTACTTGATCTAGTAATTTACTCATATCTAGAAAAAAAATAATTTGTAAGATAATATATCAAAATTTTCTACTTATTATCTTTGTTTCTTTCAATGATGCACATGCATCTTATAATAAGAGAGTGATACTCAGTTATAACGAGTTGAAGAGATGTATGAAGAGAAATAATATTATTATACAAGCCAAAGACATGATGAAGAATATATACACCTGTAATTAGTCTAACTATTAACATTAATGATTCAATGCTATATTTTTCATATTCACGTGTAGATTTTTATAAAATAAAGATATGGAAATTATATTAACAAACAGTAGTAACAACTATGCGTATTTTCTTCATTGTTTATTTTTTTGCGATCAATTAATATAAATATTTATTTACAATAAAAATTAGTTTCGCTAAAACTATGGGTATGAATAAGAGTATTGATTCATTGAATTTCTAATCAATTAATCTTATTATTTGTAGTGAGTTTGCCGAGTGCAATAGACATGACGGTGAACATGAACGACGTCATTGAAAAAGGCAAAAAGATGCATTAATTCAGCTTGAATCATAAGTAGATACGAGTCTCTTTAAATATTGTTAAAAAAATGTGTTCGTTGTATCACGAAGTGTGTATATTTGATATAGATGAGAAAAACATAACTCCTTTCCTTTAAAATCAAAGATGTTGATTTCTAATCGATAAATAAGCTTAATATTTATATTTTACACATAGAAATTGTACAAACCATTTTTATTTCTATAGTTTTCAATAAGCTTCAAGAAAATCGTTACGACGTTTGTAGTTTATTTTCTTTCCTTCATCATACTAAAGATAATTAGTTATATTTAACAGAACATGTGATTAAAATACCGAAAGTGTTACATGCTTCTTTTTTATTGTAAGATACGTCTATACTTTAAAAAAAAGATAAATAGTTTAGAATTTGTCTTTAGCGTATATCAAATAGTCTATTATTATAACTGAAATGATAAATGATTACTATAGTTTGACGTTTAATTCTTAATAAATCAGCAATGGATGAAAATTCATTTTTCATATCTTGATTAGTTTTGTTATATTTTAAATTATTATGATCGTTTAATTTTTCTTATATATTCTAGTTTATTCATAACCATTATTTTTAATACATTAACATCTAAATTATTTATGACGTTTGTTATATGTGTTTTTGATCGTTTATTAACTTGCTTAGTTTTATTTGATGTTTTTCTTTTTTCTTTGCATCATGTTTATTTATACAACATAAATATCATTTATATTGCTGTAAGAATAGAATATGTTAACTTATTTTTATTTATTTTTTATGTAATTTCTTCAAATTCACTGCGATGCGTGTGGATGTAATTGTGGATATGAGATAAGTAGATTTACACCCATCCACCCACCCACGCCCACACTTACACTCACACTCACACTCACCCACGCCCACTTCACATCCACACTCACACCCACTATGAAAAGTCTAACATTACTACAGCAAAACGTATGCCAATTCATCAAGGAACGTATTCCAAACGTTCCGTCTCTGTTCCAAGTAGAACTTGACGAGCTCTATCCAATTGTATGATACGGAGGACTGCATCCAAGATAGTTTATTTAAAAATATTCATATAAAATATCAAATCATAGAAGCCAATTCCATTTCAGCATGTTCATGAAAGATTCATTTGGAAATTTTTTTAAAGAGATTGATATTTCTCTAAATTATAGTGTGAAGACTTTGGTAAACCGTTGTTTGGAAAATTGTTTATAGTCTACTGTGCAAGATATATGAAAATCTGTTTTTATTATCGAGTTAAAAGAGAAAAAATGCCACATCACTCTTCACAACCGTTTCGAATCAAGCAGATTAAATAAAGTGTCTGGCTATTGAAATAGTGTACAATGGAACTTATATTTTCTAGTATAGAAGATATTTCGGAGTATATAAACATATTGTTGTTGGTTACGCGACATAGCAATGTCTAAGAAACTCATATAAAACAGAGTGTTGCAAACGTCATCACATTGGCGTCAACGCTTGCTGATTCAGTGTCATTTCACCTGTGTATTATTGGCTTTGCGTTGTTATTTTTGGAAGTTGGAAAAAACATAGTAGTGATAGCGAACAAAGTGCACTATTCTCCATTTTCGTATCAGTTACTTGCTATGTGAACAAAGTGCACCATTCTCCATTTTCTTGTCAGATGTTTGCTATGCAAATAAAGAGCGCTAGTCAAGTGTGCTGTATGTAAGGATATCGACTATCTGCAAAAACAGAATAAAAGTATGTGCGTCAATCATTTTTTCTTTCCATTTTTCTTTCTATTGATGAATCATGTGACGCAAAAGATATACTGTGCCATTGCCAAAAAAATAGAGGTGGCACATTTACTTTACTTTGGAGTTACATAACTGCAGTAAAGTAGCTATAAAAGTTATTGAGTTACTAGTTATTAAGTAATTTTTATAGTTACCTAGTTAGTAGTAAAGTAGATGTAAAATCTCACCCCTAACAAAAAAAGTAAGAGAAGGCTGCATGGTGTCTTGTCGAACCTTTTCGAATACATAAACTATTCAGGATAGACTATTTGACCAATTTATCCTTGAAGAACGCAAAAATAGAAATTTTGGAAGGTTTATTTCTCAAGGGTGGGTGTTAGAGCTGCATGCAGTATTAGCACTCACACCCACATTCACACTCTAAAAGACGCTCTGTCGTAATTTTTATCGTATTCGCGACTTGCTTACACTAGTTATACACAGAATGGATTTTTTTTAAGCAGTCATAGGTAACGTCATCCTTTTCTTTCTCCTCATAAGTCGTATTTTACTAATACTTCGTCCTTTCTTCTTTTAACGTATAAGGTCGGTTTTTTCTGAAGTAGAAGAAAATTTGTCTCACATATAACCGCCATGATTTCTGATTTTACCGAACAATAAAGAGAATTTGCCTGCTGAAAAGAACGAAGTCCACAATTCAAGCTGATGCATACGATAATATTTGTATAGATCTCTCTCATGACTAATAATTGAGGATGTGGGTGTAGATCTTCTTACTCCTCTCCTCGTGAAGTTTTCGATTTACCTAACAGTACAGTATCAAGAAGTACTGTGTTCCTATCCGCCAACACCCTCACACTTTTACCTCTTTCGCTTATTCTTTGATTTTTCTATGTACGTATTAAATGCATTAACTTCAGATATATTTTAGATGAAAATGCTTACGGGCGTACTCGTGGATGTCTCAGGCTCAATGAAGAATAGTCTTCAGTCTAATGTTACAGCGACAGATCAACAAATTACTCGCGCTGAATCTATATTCCGAACGATTATGAATATAACCAAACGTGAAGTCAATTGTTGCGAAGAGCAAGAGATATTCACATTGGCATTTGGTCTACAGGATGTATCTACATGTGATCTATTATCTTTACTGGATTATGTTAAAACGTTAAATGAGCCAACTGATGTCGATGGTCATGAATCTTTGATTCAGTTATTAGCGAATAATGGAGCACCACGTGCTGGTGAATACGTTAGAAAATATTTAACAAAAAATGAAGCATTGTTTCTTTACAATTTTTATTCTGAAGATACACCTAAGTTGACGGAACTTGTCGAACGGCTACCGGTCGTATGCAAAGAGACGCCTAATCTGATACATGTTGCATCGCAGGCTAGATCGCATGTCGAATCGTCGATCGACAGGCAGTTCGGATCGACATCGGATACCGCGTGGTTGATGAAAGCGTTCTTTAAATACTACGTCTGTTCAGGGTTCGAAGTGATAGCTGCATTATCTACCCCGAAAGAAACCGCACTGCAAGGTGGATTGAAAGTCATGGACATTGGATCGAAACTTGGAATTTGTTCGGACTCGACTGAAGTTGAAAGAGAAGCTACTAGAGAACAAGCTAATCGCGCGATGAAATATGCAAGAAATCAAATTCGTATACGCACTATACCAAAACTGAGAGAGATATCAAGACCAGTAAAGAAAACTTTAGAGTCCACTATCAATTTACTACAAGAAGTTGCTGGCACATCACCATCGCATAATTCATCTCAAACAAAAGATAATTTGTCAGCCGCGGAGCTCTCACTTCTTGTTGACTCTATTGAACCATATATCTATGGGAATACTCCCATGTGTGAGGCACTGGAATCAGCTCTCGATATGTTTCGTTCCGCCACTCACTCTCGTAAAGTCCTATTTCTACTGTCCGATGGAGAAGCAACAGATGGAGATCCTGTTCCGTTTGCTCAACAGCTTCGTGAGAACGGTGTCCTTGTTTTTATTTGTCTGCTGACATCTGAAAATATCCCTCATCCAAAAGCCTTATACTATGAGCCGGATCCACAATGGACCGAAGCACAACGTGCTATGTTCGAACTAAGTTCTACTGTAGAAAATACTCACTCAGCAATGTCAGTTCTCTTGGAACAAAATTGGAAACTCGCTGCTGCTGGAAAAAGCCGTTTGTTCGTACAAGTGAATCATCCTACTATGCTCGATGAGTTTTCAAATCTCGTTCGTCGTATCACAGAGAGTAACGATGCTTTATTGAATATATTCGGTCGTGTTTCATTAGATATGTACATAAATATATCGAACTCTAGTTTTGAACCAAAACTGCAACAAGGCGGTACATGCTATGCCAACGCAGTTACGACTGTACTTCACTTAGCCATGCGTCGAATCGAAGGTCGAGAAGGTGGAACTCCCGATTTTGAAGTGGTGCGTGGCCAGTTGATAAATGAATATGGTACAAAAGGTGCTAACACTGAAGGTGTCCTTAATAAGTGGACTCGAGAATATCGCCTGCAATATAGAAAAGTTGATGAACCCGAGGCTCGACAAGCTATCAATGCACGGCGTCCAGTGGTTACGAGATTTTCTTTATACAAGGAACAATGGGATGCTTTCAATCGTTTTTACCGGAATACACCACAAGGTATTTTCGAAATAAATGACCTAGGTATTCATAGCTCGTTAACAAATAAAGATGGACACGCTGTAGTTCTAATAAAATGTGATCCGGAAAGTTTGACGTTCATGAACTCATGGGGTACTTCTTTTGCAGATAAAGGTTTTTTCAAAGTTCGGAATCAATCTGTGCTAGACTTAAAGTTTTATGATGTCTACTGGACTTTGAATGATTTGAAGAGCAGCGAAATTGCGGCATATCAGTCTAAAACTAGAGAAATTGGAGAAAGAATCGCACGAAACTTACCACAAAGTGTTCAAACTTTGCCTTACGAATGTCCTAAGTGTCATCAATGCTCACCAGCAGTCGAGTTCATCGGTCATCTATGGGAAGCAACATGTCCAAAATGTAATGAAAACTTTAAGCCTACTTCATTAGGTCTCATTTTGAACTCGTATACGCATTAGAAGAAAGCAATCGATCTTATTTTTCGTCTTTCATGATTTATTTATTTAAATATAAACGATTTCATTACTAATATCTATTTCTAATAAAATAGGGTGTGCGTGTGGGTGTTTTATTAGTTCATTATCTTTTCATTCACAACAGCCACACAGCCACCCACAGGGTGAGTGTGGGCTTGGATATCGGGGTAGGGTGTGGGCGTATGCTACTACTAATCACATTGATATCCAGAGCATCAGTTACCCAATCACACCCACACCCTTAATAAATTTATTCTTATGAAACAAGATTCTCATTTCGTTTATTAAAATAAAATGTATGAGATAATTTTGTATAATTATATCAAGAATATTTATTCAAAAGCATTCATATGCACATACTTATTCATGTTATTGTTCAGCTAATCATCAATCAACTTTGAACGTAACATTGTTAGTACTGCTTCTAATTCAGTTTGTGCAAGATTACAAATACGGACAGGTGTATTGAATAAATTTTACTCAAAAGCATTGATCCAAATATCAAGATAATTCTCAGATAATTTTGTATATCTGCAGATGATTATTGAATTTGTAATATAAGGGTGTGAGTGCTAGTCTGACTTTTATATACTCCATACCCCCCCCCCCCCCCATCCACACCCTGGTAGTGTAAGACACAACGCCTGATATTAATATAGGAAAACTTTATGCTTCCACTTTTACTTATAACATAGAACAATATTATGTTATGCTTCAAAATTGATTCAATTCAAAGACTTTAAAAGAAATTGATGGTGATAAAACTGGAGTCGGAGATGATTGAATATCACCTAGTACTGATGATGTTAGACCCTACGGATATTGTATAATGAAGAAATTGTAATAGATTATAAAATATTTCATACTGTTTTCAGTTTGATACATGTCACAATTCAAAAGACTGAAATAAAATATCTTAACTTGCAGATTTTTTGATAATAATATAAATAACTGATGCATTAAAAACTTCATTGAAATCAAATTACAAAATATTTCAAATAAATATTTAAATTAATATAATGATGAATAATATTTACAGTTAGATAATTTCTTCCAGTTATACAAGCAACTTGAATTAACAATTCTTTCTGTTGTAAGTTATTCTCGTTTAAAAGATCTTTTTTATTATTTACTTTAGATCAAGATCCAATATAATATCAGTAAGATGTTTTTTTTGTTTCAAACTGCTGTAGTAATTCAATTATGTGAATGATAAACGCCTCTGAGATATAATTATGTAAGTAGATCATATTTCTATTTCTTTGCTTGAAATTGATTTTTTTTTGTTGAAAAAAGAAGAGAAAATCGCTCTTAAGCAAAAGAAATAGTAAATTGAAAGAAGTTTATAAATCATTGCTATCGAGTTGGTTAGTTTAAGAACATTATCAACGTATTATTTATTTCACATGACTAGTAACAGGATTTCAGTATTCAAGATAACTACAAAATAAAATTGTGTTTGATGATATTTTTGAGTATAAGTTTATGTTCATAACTAAGATATATGAAGGCATCAAATTATAACTTTCCTTCTTTATTTTTATTCGATAATGTTTCAAAAAGCTTATTTTTACTCATTAGTTTTTCGATGATGTTTTCACTTAATACAATTCATCGAAAATTACATAAATATAACAGATTGATTCAATCAATAATTTAATCTTTTCTTTTCATTTTATTATCACCTTTTTGTAAATGTCTTTTGCTTGTAATTATACACTTAATTTTGATAAATTATAAATTTGAGTCAGTTATAAAACTATTTCTACTACAGTTTTAGACTAAAAGTTATGGATATCAACGATTTTCATATGAAAAATGTGAAAGAAAAAAACTTATTGAGAGCTGTTCGTATGGAACATAGTATTTGCCTAAAAGAGTTATTTATCAAGTTTCGAGTATCCCTTTTCTTTTTTTTTGTAGAACTTTGTAATGGATATGACCAGATTACTTCATACTTACTGTCAAAATATATTTTTCATTATTTGGGAGAACTAATTAAGTTCTTTGATTTTGTATCGTATGTAGACAAACAAAGAAATCTCCGATATTTAAATCAACAGTATGTTTTCTTCTTTCAACCCCTCCATCGATCTTCATTTATCAGTATTTATATATTCTTGTTATTGTGTATCAAATTCAATGTTCAATATACTGAAAGTAACAAGAGACTGTTTTTCTAATTATTGTTGTGTTTGTAATGAATACTTATTAATTTCTTTTATTTTTTAGAAACATCTGATTTTGAAAATATCATACATCGCAGCGCTTGTCATGACTTCAATAAAATTATTTAAATAGGATATTTCCCGTTGGAAAAATCAGAATACTGTGATGCATGAAATATAGTTAAAACTGTTATTTAATATGTTGTTACATAAGAGAAAAATGTAAAAAGAGAGAAAGACTAATTATTAACAGCATTTATGTTTTCTTAATATTCGAGCACACTACAATATTTTACTGCATTCATTCTCAAATCAGATTGAGACAATGGTAGATTTTTACAAACGATCGTTTTGGCATTTCACATTGAAAGATATATTAATTATTATATCTTCAGTTGCTATACCCATAGCTCTTGCTATTTATACTGCAATAGGATCTGAACAACAAAAACAACAAGCTGAGAAAAAACAAAAGTTTGATTTTGAACAATCAATAGAACTAAGACAACAAACACTTTATGATGAATTTTTAAATAATATTTATAAATTAGATAAAGATGGTTATCTCAATGACATAAGAAATCCATGGGCATTTGCCAATGCATATTATCGTGCTGCTCATCGTCAATGGGATACAATACGGAAAGCAGATGTTTTACAATTTCTGAAAGAAAAACAATTAATTGGTAGAAATAATTGTACTAATGGATGTAGAACAACAAAATTAGATGATATAATTCGTTTGAATGAATTAAGTTTTGATAATGTACGTCTAACAAGTGAAACTGGTGTATTAAATAAGTTGAATTTACAATGCATTTCTTTTGATCAGGTATCAATGTCAAATGGGGAGTTTTTATCTGTTAATTTAAATGGTGCATCATTTGATGGAGCACGGTTAGATAACGCGAAATTTGATGGTTCATCTTTACTTTGTGTTAGTTTTAATGGTGCAGATCTAGCAGGTGCACACTTTTCAAACAGTGATTTGTCAGGAGCTGAAATAACGGAAGATCAAATAAAACAAGCATCTTTTCACAATGTAACTATGCCGAACGGAAAGAAGAGCGAAACTACGTCCTCAACGACAACAAAAAAACCTATAACACAAACAACAATAATGATGAAAACAAAAATGTCAACAACATCATCATCATCCATAACGTCGACATCAACAACAACATCATCATCCACAACATCAACATCAGCAACATCATCATCATCATCCACAACATCAACATCAACAACATCATCATCATCAACAACATCAACATCAACAACATCATCATCATCAACATCAACATCGACATCGACATCAACAACATCGACATCAACATCAACAGGTATGGTTTTTAAACAAGAATGATTACATAGAAACTTTTATGTATGACTGATAGAAAAGACAACATGTTCGCAGTATATAGCAACTGGCAGCTGATCATTCACAGAAATTGTGCCCGAAATTTTAACGTTAGTTCTCTTGGAAGGTTTCGACCTGTCAGACGGAGTCTTTTCTATTTGTTCTGATCGACACTTTGTCAGAAGATTTTCTTTCGAGAGCGTGATTCACTGTTTCATCTGTGGTAAATAGATTTTAATTTCAGTCATGAACTGATGCTGGCTGTAACTAGTTGATTACTATTGTCCATAAAAAAAGAGGTGCGATGACTATTTTTGCAACAACCTGTGATAGAAAAAAGATTGAAACCTGAGATTTTTGCTATATGATCCAGTGTATCATGTGTCTGGAAAATGCTGATGGAAAAAATAAGAAACCTTTTCTCATAGAAATCCTAAATACAGCTAAATAATGAATGAAATAATAAATCACCAGAGATATGTTCTTTGCTATACGTCGAAAGCAGTACATCTGAATTTATATGCCATAATCGTTGGATGTGCTGATTAGATCGTACAGATTTAGACGTTTAGATTTATATGTATAGATTCAGACGTAGAAGATGATATAAAAAAATAATCTAAGAGTATCGTACTTAAATATAGATAGAATGAAAGCAGAGTAGTTATTGTATGTTTGTGATGTGTAAACATGAAAACGTAGTAAAAAGTAAGAAGCGTCTTGTATCTGTAACGAAACTTTCGTAGAGTACTGATAACATCAATAGTAAATCTGAGGAAGTTATAAGAGTGTTTTCATTTTTTCCATCTGTTTTTGAGAAACGATGATTCAGGTAGATGGTGTGGGTGTGGGTGAGTGTAAGTACTCTATTTAACCTATATTACACCTACACCCACACCCTTCTCTGCGCATGCATAAATGGATATAAAAAATCGCATTATAGACGAGCAACATGTCTGTATTAGAGCATTTTTCGTAACGCGAATAAACGTTTTTGTTATAAAAAGCTAACGCGGGAACATCCCCAACTGAAGGAAAGCTTTGGAGCTCGGACTCCGTGCATTAGGTAGATCCTAGTGAGGTATGAAAAACCCCAAAAGGATAAGGGCCCATAGGCCTTCTGTCCCGAGTTATAGGCAATATACTGAAATTTTAGCCTATGGCATGGTATGTATAAATAGATCGAACGACAGTATTTCGACCTGAGATTATGCCCAGAGTGAGGTCTATATGGCACTAGAATACCCTGAAAATTTCAGCTAAAAAGAACGTTTTGTTCTCGAGTTATTAAAGTCTCAAAAAATCACTCATATCTCACGAAAGATACTAGATTTTCCTATTTTTTGATATTTTAATATCTCGGGAAGGAAACATTCTTTTCAGCTGAAATTTTCAGGGTATTCTAGTTACCCATAGACCTCTCTATGGGCAAAATTTCAGGTCGAAATACCGTCATTCGATCTATTTATATATACCCTATCATAGGCTAAAATTTCAGTATATCGTCTATAACTCGGGACAAAAGGCCCATGGGCACTTATCCTTTTGAGGTTTTTCATACCTCACTGAGATCTACCTAATGCACGGAGTCCGAGCTCCAAAGCTTTCCTTCAGTTGGGGATGCTCCCTCGTAAGCTTTAAGTATTTTTAGAGTGTCTAAATCAGTTAATTTTCACTGATCTCTCTGAATTTTGTTCATTTCAGATGAAGTTGAATACTCTAGACTAGTGCAGATAAAGAAAAGTGTTATCCAATAATTTTATCTAACTTTGATTTTTAAGACCTAGTTGTTTCGCTTTTGAGCTGATGACTGATAGTTCCATTTTGAACAAGTCTCAAAATGATTTCAGTTTGTGGAGACTACGATCACATATTGATTTAACTCTAAAAGTATGATATAATTCGATCATTAAACAATCAAATTTCCAGAATGACAGCATTGTTTGTTTTCTTTCATACATTTGCGAACAGTGCATTTCAGATTTACGATCAATCATAATTGGTCTTTAGCGTTGTTGCCCTTAAGATATTTATCTATTAATACTTTATTTTTAATTTTAGCTCCACCTTGCAGTACTGCTTGTTGTACTGGTGGTACTGGTCCTACTACTTGTACTGCTTGTATTGACACTGATCATGGTAATGTTAATGCTGTTTGTCGTTATGCTAATCCTATTAGTGATGTTAGTCATGTTTCTGGTAGTTATGCTAACGGTAATGGTGATTATGGTAATTTTCTTAATAATCCTGGTCCTGGTTATTTTATTTATGATACTAATGGTCGTTATAGTGGTAATGCTAATGCTAATATTCCTTGTACTACCGATTATACTGGTGGTGCTAATAATTATTTTTCTAGTAATGCTGATTATACTTATGGTTGTTGAGACAGCGTATTGGTTGGCTTTGTTTTCTCATAAAACAACAACAACAACAACAACACACAAAACCAATCATAAACATTTATACTGACATATTTTGAGAAAACGAACATTATTCGCATTTCATTTTTTTTTAATAATCGGTATGTGACCAACTTTTTTTCTGTTTTTTCTTGTTCTACTAATTCCCTAGTATTTACAAGACTTTTTAAATATCAAGAAGCAACTTTTTATTTTTTAGTTAGCATCCATTCGATTTTGCTTTTTCATTTCATTTTATATCTTTCTAGTTAGCAACTAAAACAAAAAACGTAAATTCATAAGGTAATGTATACTTAAATTAATTACATAAGATGAACATAAGATTATCCAAAAATGATGATAAAATAAGAAATTAATAAGAATCTGCGATGCATCGACAGTGATAATTTTCTTTATCAAGCGTTGTACAAAGTTTGTCATTAAATTATTTTTTTGCTTTTTTCATCCAAATATGATGTTAAAAATATGATAATGGAATGGTAGGATGATGCTACTAGTAAAAGAGATAAGCGGATTGTGTTCTTCTTCCATCCTATCATGTCCCTCTTGCACTTTCATGATAAATATGCTTTCTTCGTACGATTATAAAGTACTTTTTTATGTTTATACATGATTCATAAAATAAGTCGATTCTTCAATAGATCGTCTTTTTGAGTCATTGTCATTGATAAACATTTCAGTTAAATCCTACCAGGATTATTAGACTAAAAAGTTATAAATGGAATGTTTCTGTGAGAACTCTGAAAAACTAAGACGTTTTTTTTGCACTAGTTTGAAAAAAATCAGTATATAGTTATTTAGCATTTTAATAGAATATATTTATTTAATTAGGATCTACTTAACCACATACAGCTCTACGGAAATTGGAAATCGATAATAGTTGTATTGTTTTAATCAACCTCTTCCTAGAAGAAGTTATTTTAAATAGTGACTCGAACTCATTATTAATGTCTGAATGAAACTCAGTTTAGGATATAAAAAATATCCTGCGAGAAAGTAAATTCTGAAGCTTAATATTCAATTCATGTCGCGAGTGCGGGTGTGCGTAGGTGTGACTTTAGGTGTGGGTTTGGGTGTGGGTGTGGATGCTGCCTTTCATTCTCATGCAAATCCACACCCACACTCTTAAGATAGTTTATTGAATATTCAGTCTTTTTGATGCTTAAAAATTATGTTCAGGTAGTATTAATTTCGTAATAAAATAATTAGTAATTGGTAAAAAAAATTTATTATTATGTATTCACATTGTTTCAAATGTAAATAAGAAGAGATCAAAGATAAACAGTTCTTTTTTTTTCGTCAACATGGAATTTTTTTAAATTGAATATGTAAAATAATCAAAACTTAATCAAAACCAATCTAATGCATTACGCTTAATGATTGATGATCTTATTATAGGTTTATTGTCATTTAAATTTATTCTATGAATGGTTTTAAATTTTACATGTCCGTTTTTTTTAATTGATAAGCAACAATAACCAAATGAAAAGATTTTATTTCACGAAGAGACGTTTTCTTGTTGTAAATATTAATGTAAAAAATACGACAAAAACAAATAAAACAATAAAACACAAACATAAAAATATATATGCTTCAAATCTTTTTTAGTTCTATTTTTCAGATTTAACGTGTTCAATAGAAGAATACAATCAATCGTTCATAGATAGTACTTGATCGATTCGTTATATTTATTGAAATAATTAATTTGCAAAAAATTTAGAAGTATCCATAACTTAGTCAGAAGATGTAAAATTTTGAAATTTAGGGTATGGGTATGGGTGTGGGTGTGCGTGTAGATATCGGTGAAGAAATGAAGGTGAATATGAAAGGAGTAGAACCATCATACCCACACCCACAAGGAAAGAAAAAATCGATGACATAGAGAGCAATCATTGATAGTAGTTAGTGTGCGATCAATAAATCCGTGAAGATATAGATAAGAAATGAATTGTCTTTGATGTAAGTTATTCGCTATTATGTTTCTTGTTGAATTTTCGCAGAGCTTGACATAACTTTTGTTCATCTGATGAAATAGTGTATCCTTCAGCTAATAGTTGTTGAGGTGAAGTGATGAAGGCTAATGCTAATCCAGCAGACATATGCCATTCGATATGACAATGAAAAAACCAAGCACCAGGTTTATCAGCTACATATCGTATTTTTGCCCAACCGGATGCAGGTATACTGATTGTATCACGTTGAATATAATCTCCAGCATATAAAAATTCGGCATCTGGATAATCTGATGTTGCAATAATCCAGAATTTATGACCATGTAAATGAAATGGATGTTCTCCATCATCTGTATTGTTCAAATAGATATCAACGACGGCTTGATAGGGAACTAAATAATGACCATATCCATCACTTTGAATTGTGGGTAGTAGACTTCCAGATTCTATACGAGGTGATGGAATATTCAGATTATTAGGTTTAGTTACCATTTGATAAAGTAATGGTGCATATTCATCTGAAGTAATTCCTCGTCTTGGAGCAGGTCTCATATGCATGTAATTAGCATCTGAACTATATGTCACATTATTCAGATAGGCATAATTAATTCCATTTGCACTAGTCTGAAATGCGATGACAAGGCTTAAATAATAGGTTGCCTTGGGAATTTCATTCGTATTCTGATAAAATGGTCGAGCAGCTAAAATATTAGTGTCAATTGGAGTAACAGTGTTTTGCAATGCTGGAGTTGTCTCACTAGCAGAATATGATGGTATAGAATTAGTATCATTGAACGACAAAATTGCGAGATATAATGGATTAAAGAAAGTTGGATATGGATAACGTTGTTTTTCATAAGGTGGAATATAATTGACAGTATCAACAGGATACATTGATAACATAGCTTGAAATCGTATATAAACTGCACTGGTAGATAATGTACCAGAAGCAGTATATTCTGAATTTAATTCACTTAAATCAATATAAAATAAAACACGTTGAGCTACGTTAATATAAAAACAATTGACAGTGTATGGTAAAGTAGCCATTTGATCTAATGCAATTATATGCAATGGTAAACCATCGATTGAGACATTGTACATTGAGAATGCAGCAGTATTTATAATTCGAAATAGAATACGTGATGACTTCGAAAGTGAAATCGATAATGCTTGGGTAAATTTTCCATTCACAACGATAGCATCGGGTGAAGGTTCATTACCATCCGTATTATTTGGATTCAAATACCATGGAAGTAATTGAGTATGAGCTTGTAGATTATACCAATCGGCTACCATTAATGTTTGTTCACTATCATATTTATCTTGATTTGGTTCATGTCGTTGACGAATTATTATTGGACCATACAATCCATCCGTATATTGCTCTAGAAGATGTCCATGATACCAGGTTGTTCCGGCTGGTTCTGCTATAAATTTGTAAATCATTTCGTTCTTTGGAGGTATAGCACATTGAGTAATGCCAACTGCTCCATCCATATCAGGAGTATTCGTTTGATAAATTCCATGCCAATGCATCGTTGTCGGAACATCAAGTAGATTGATTACTCGAATCACTAATGTATCACCTTCATAGGCTTCAATTAATGGACCTGGAAATGAATAATTTGCCGAAATTATTGCTTTGTTCGATCTTCCATAGGGATATATTATATCAATATATAATGTTAGATGAATTTCGACACCATTAGTGGTTGTATTCATTCCTTAATAGATAATTAGCCTGCTTTTATTCTTTCAATTCGTAACTACACTATTAATTGTTAACTAACCTCTTGATGTAGAAGTTTGCGTTGTTGTTTGATGTGGACGATTGTTTCCTTCTATTTCAAAAGAATTGCTATCTGATTATAATAGATTTTTGAAAATAATTATTAGTTCGATGTATACAGAGTGATCAAAAGAAAAGAACATAATATGGCTCATTCTCAAAACAGGGTGTGGGCGTGGGTAATTTTGGGTAGGTGAACTTTTATGATTATGTAACGACTTCACAAGCTGCTAGTGCTACGGGCAATGATAACAGTTTCTATACATTTGCTAGGATTAAACTCTGTCGTTCTCTACCAAAACTGAGAGATGTGATAATGCTATTAGTTGACTCAAACAGGGAAGATAAATATTACTTGAGGCTTCATATCTATTACGTGGCTTTTTATAATAATAATTGTTCACATTCGAAGGCGGTCGATATTTGTTTTCTTGTTCTTGTTCTTGTTCTTGTGATGATTCTTTTTCGTCTTCTTTTTCTTCGGATTCATATTTAGAATCTATGTTAGGTCGTGTCTCATACGGTTTGGAAATCAAGAATGAACCAGAGTTAGTGCGAACACCACCTTTAAAACCACCTTGTTTAGAGTTGATCATTGGAATATTTGGACCGGTTACTAATAAAGTAATAAAAAGATATTGAAAAATGATTAAAAGAAAGAAAACTAACAGGATTGTCGTTGAAAAAAACGCTTCATATGAATAGGATTAACCGGTGGACCACCACTGCGATCTAAACTCGCATCTCCGGAAGCGATGAGCTCAGCAATCGAGTATGAATTGCCATAGGTATTAATCAATGGAGGTATAATATAGACTAAAACGATAACTCATTATTAATGATGTTGCATAAAATTAGTATTCATGCACTACCTTCTGTTTTTGAATAAATAATTGTTTGTTTTGTTGATCGATCGGCAACGATTGGAGTCCCGGGCATGAACGAAACAAAAGGACCCTTCAAAGCTTAAAAGAAATATATGATCAAATTGAATGAGGGGAAAAAAATAATATAGTATACGCATTTCACGACGACTATATCGAGCAACAGGAAAACGAAGTCGTTGATACGATCGTCTACCACTACCACGACGATTGTTTGAACGAATATAAGTATTCATATGACCAATACTTTTAGATGAACTAGATCTCTATAATTGAGTGAACATCTATATAGTTGACTTGAAACAACAATTACAATACTCACAACTCGGTGAACATATGATCGTAGTTGAGGAAGTCGTTCACTTCTGTTTTCAACATTATCATCTTCATCCAATTGTTCGAGTTGTTGTGATATTTTCATTTCTGACATTTTATTGTCCATCGCTATCTTCTCTCCACTTTTCCAATCATGCACCATCTTTGTTTCACCTATTGAAATATATCATACAATCATATAGTAGTATCTAGCATACATTTATAGCGTATTCTATAATTATCTCGGTATGAAAGTCCTCAAAGACTTTTAATATATTCTTCATTTTTTCAAAGATTTGTGATACAAAAAGTTTTAAAAACTCCTAGAGGACGCGCCCGCTGACATCTATACTTTAAGAATTTGATCCGTTTTACCTTGTTCTTTTTCGATATTGGCATCACTGGCTTGTGCTGTCCGATAATAGTTCAAAGCTATAATGCCACCACTAACAATGAAGAGAAGCAATAAGCCTGCATACACAATTTTGATTTTTGTTTTAGAAACGCCATGTGTCCTTGGAGAACTAGAATTCATATTAAAAAAATATATACTTTTTTGATTAATTGAATTCTCAAATGCTTACGTTGTCTTGAATCGATGTTGGTGCTCACTCGTCACCATATGTTGTAATTCGAATTCATCTCTGTGGTATTTATCACCCACAGACATCTTAGATTCTAATATATTGATTAGTTGTTCTATTGAATATAGTAAGCGATCTAAAAGAGATTTTAAAGGAAGGAATAATGGATTTCACAGCTTCAGAAGATTATAAATGACTTTAACATTAGTGACTCAGAGAGGCTTTGAAGATCATGAACTAATGACGGATTTTAATACTCGTATTTACATCATAATCAGGACTTATTGAGACTAGAGGAACCTCAAAAGTGAGTTAATGGAGAATTTAATTATGCAGCAAATTCCCCATTCACTCATTTCTAAACTACTGATCTATTAACTTAGTATTTAAATCATCTAAAATAAATGCAGTAAAACATCAAAATAATAACAATTTGAAAACAAACCGTAAACATTCAAAAAGTAACACTATTTTCATCACATGCAAAAAGATATGAATACATCTGTATATTTCGCTCTATATATATTATTATAATATTAGTATATGATAACAAGGTAAAGAAGTCATAAGACATGTTTCTTTCATCAATATTATTATTTTGTTGTATTACCTTTTTATGACAAACACTTCACACGTATTTGAAGATAAAAAAAAGTATATACAAGCAGTTTTACATTTATATATTGCCGATGAAAACAACTTCACTATCACCACGTCACAAGATAGTTTGAAATTTTATTTTTTTTTATAATTTACTTTAGTTTCTATCAAATAATTATAACAGATAACTTAATTTGAGACTAATAATTGACTAAAGTATAAAATAAAGAACAACAAAGAAGATGATTATGTTTTAATTCAAGATAATTAATAATTCCTTTTTAAAATCAATACTAATTTTTACAAAGAAGCACAATAACATATTTCACTTATAATAAATTTCATTTTATAGACTAAAAATAATTTATTTTGAAAGTTTCAGAATATTTATTTATATTCGATAAGAGATAAATATCTGTCCTAGTTCACAAGGTATTTTTTCTTTCAATTATATGTCTCTCAAAATATATACAAATATATAAGAAACAAATACAATTAGACAACCCATGTAAAAACCATCTTGAGGGTGTGGGTATGGATGTTAGTGTTCATCAAAGGAAGAGACACCCACACTCTCAAGATATTCATATTTATCGTACAATAATATCATCTAGATCAAATTTCTCTCTTCTCCTTTATTGTTCTTGATAGTTTCTTGAATATTCAATCTTTTTTCATACTTAAAAATGATGTTCGGTTATTCTTAAATTCATAATAAAATAATTGATCATGAATAACAAAATTTTTTTCATTTTTTGTTAATAGATGTTCTCATATCAATCAGAATGAAATGAAATGAAAACTTATTAGTATATATTCAAATATTGTTTCAATTGTAGAAAAGAAAAGATCAAAGACAAAGAAATCTTATGTTTTTTTCATCAATATAGAATTCTTTTATTGAATATGTAAAATAATTCTTTACAAGCAAATTCAAATAGTAAAAAATGTAATCGAAATTAATCTGATACATGTGGTTTAATACCTGATGATCTTATTATATATTTATTTTCATTTAAATTTATTGTATCATTGATTATCAACGGTTTTATATCATCTTAATCATAATTGAAATCTCACCGTTCTAAGCATTTTTTATTCTATAAACGGATAACATAATTAATTATAAATTTTATATGTCCGTTTTTTTTATTTGATAAGCAAAAATAATCAAATGAAAAGATTTTATTTCACGAAGAAACGCTTTTTTGTTTTAAATATTAATGTAGAAAATACGGCGAAAACAAATAAAACAATAAAACACAAACATAAAAATATATATGCTTCAATTTTTTTTAGTTCTATATCGCAAATTTAATATGCCCAGTAAAAGAATATAATCAATCGTTCATAGATAGTACTTGATTGATTCGTTATATATACTAAAATGATTAGTATATAGTAAGTTTAGAAGTATTCATCATTCAGTTAGAAGAGGTAAAATCTTAAAAATTAGAATTAAATCGAATTATTTATGACTATCAATATTCTGTTGGAGAGCACATCAAAAATGTATATTTAACAAAATTAGAAAAGTTAAAATTGTTAGGAATTCTGAACTTAGGTCAGTAATCGATTTGTGAATTTCATTGATAAAATAGAACCACCTCGTCTTCACTTTCTTATCAATTGTGATACACAACTCGCCCATCTCTAATGCACAATCAATTTTTCAATCAAACATACATTCTACTACACTTTTTTCAATTGTCGAAGCCAAACTTTTGATTAAAATGATGAATTATATTTACTCATAGTATGAAGTTTACAGTATATGTCCGAAGCAGTTGAAATGGGCTTCTTATTGATTATTTTTATTGTATAAAACATACATATATACATGTTTTTACTTTATTCAATTCAGATCGAAATCAGCGACCAATCCCGTGATATTATACATAATGGTAACCCGACAACACTACGACTCGTCATCCGATCCAGCATCGCCCAACCATACAAGTCATTCTTCTATCAAACCGATGTTCTCGGCAGAGGATGATGATAATAATCAGTAAGTACAATATCGATTTCAAGATGTTTATATATCTCATCTTCTAATGACAGAATTGATCAAAAGAAGTCCGCTGGCTGGCATTGGTGTTTGAAATGCTGTATTATTGGATCATTACTAGCTGGAATAGGTTTAGCTGTTGTACTCACATTCTACGTGACCTCGAAAACAACTGCAACTGAAACATTAAGTATGTAACAATTAAAATTATTCTTTTCATGCTGACTATTTTGTCTTTTTATTCATCAAATGGAAGAAAAAGATAATTGCTCTTCTTAAGTGTATGGCCAATTTTGCTTTCTAAATAGTGATGTTAATAGCTAGAATCGAGATCTAAAACTGTGGATCAATCATACGTTTGTATCTTTTACAGCTCATGAGTTATATTGATTTTAACTATAGTTCTTACCTAATTTTCAACAAATTTCTATTGTAGATCTCTACCACATTTCATTCAACAGTTATAAGCATCTTTTCCAACTACCTTTTTCTAAAAAATTCATAATAGCTGATCAGTTGATCTGCATGTATTAATCGGATGAATATTTCATCGCTCGCATTTCTATAATTGAAATGAGCAACTATTCATTGTCGCACTCACGGTTGTCAATCGATCCATCTTCACGAGTTGCCTCGTCCAACTGATAATAGTTTGTGAGCAATATCATAAAGAAATCGAACATAGTATCTTTTAGAGTAAGCAGGTCATCCATTTCTAAGAGAAATATTTGACAAGTGTTGATGATTGGTAAAGATTTATTAAGAAATTTCAATGTAAACTAGAATCATGTTGTTATATTTTTCGTTCACAAACTTCAGACAATAAAAACCTTTTGGTCTGAAAACATAGAAGAATTCTGATCTCTTTGAAAATATATTAGTAAGTTGTTGCGATGATATTTGACTTAGTCTAATGCTTTTTTTCTCTCAAATACATGATTTTTAATTGTAGTTTATCATTTCATGGTTTTTTAGTCTCGACAACATTAACAACAATATCAACAACATCAGCAACAACATCAACATCAACATCGACATCGACATCAACAACATCGACATCAACAACATCGACATCAACGTCCAGATCAACATCAACGTCAACGTCAAGATCGACATCAACATCAACATCAACAACAACAGGTATGGTTTTTAAACAAAAATGATTACGTAGGAACCTTTATGTATGACTGAAAGAAAAGAATACATGTTCGCAATATATAGCAACTGGCAGCTGATCATTCACAGGAATGGTGCCCGAAATTTTAACGTTAGTTCTCTTGGAAGGTTTCGACCTGTCAGACGGAGTCTTTTCTATTTGTTCTGATTGACACTTTGTCGAGAGATTTTTTTTTCGAGAGCATAATTCACTGTTTGATCTGTGATAAACAGATTTTAGTTTCAGTCATTAACTGATGCTGGCTGTAACTAGTTGATTATTATTGTCCATAAAAAAAAAGAGGTGCGATGACTATTTTTGCAACAACGTGTGATAGAAAAAAGATTGGAATCTGAAATTTTTGCTAGATAATCCAGTATATCATGTGTCTGGAAAACGCTGAGGAAAAATAAGAAGCATTTTTTCATAGATATCCTAAATACAGCTAAATCATGAATGAAATAATAAATTACCAGAGATATGTTCTTTGCTATACGTCGAGAGCAGTACATCTGAATTTATACGCCATAATCCTTGGATGTGCTGATTAGAGGGTGTGGGTGTGGGTGAGTGTAAGTACTCTATTTAACCTTCATCACACCCACACCCAAAGTCGCTATTTTTATGCTTGTATTATCATCTTACTTGATAAACTACTATGATTATTACTAGAAAAGATTCAAATCAATGAAATTATTTCATATCATTTCAAACCAGTATCGAATAACAGTGTTGGACACTTAAGTAACTGTTACAACTAAACATCATATACATTAAGACATTCCTGCGTACAAATGCTCTTCTATGACCGATTGCTCTTTTTTCTTCTCTACGCATGCATAAATGGATATAAAAAGCTAAGCTTTAAGTATTTTTAGAGTGTCTAAATCAGTTAATTTTGACTGATCTCTCTGAATTTTGTTCATTTCAGCTGAATTTGAATACTCTAGACTAGTGCAGATAAAGAAAAGTGTTATCAAATAATTTTATCTAACTTTGATTTTTAAGACCTAGTTGTTTCGCTTTTGAGCTGATGACTGATAGTTCCATTTTGAACAAGTCTGAAAATGATTTCAGTTTGTGGAGACTACGATCACATATTGATTTAACTCTAAAAGTATGATATAATTCGATCATTAAACAATCAAATTTCCAGAATGACAGCATTGTTTGTTTTCTTTCATACATTTGCGAACAGTGCATTTCAGATTTACGATCAATCATAATTGGTCTTTAGCGTTGTTGCCCTTAAGATATTTATCTATTAATACTTTATTTTTAATTTTAGCTCCACCTTGCAGTACTGCTTGTTGTACTGGTGGTACTGGTCCTACTACTTGTACTACTTGTATTGACACTGCTCATAGTAATGTTAATGCTGTTTGTCGTTATGCTAATCCTATTAGTGATGTTAGTCATGTTTCTGGTAAGGTTGCTAACGGTGATGGTGATTATGGTAATTTTCTTAATAATCCTGGTCCTGGTTATTTTATTTACGATACTAATGGTCGTTATAGTGGTAATGCTAATGCTAATATTCCTTGTACTACTGATTATACTGGTAGTGCTAATAATTATTTTGCTAATAATGCTGATTATACTTATGGTTGTTGAGACAGCGTATTGGTTGGCTTTGTTTTCTCATAAAACAACAACACACAAAACCAATCATAAACATTTATACTGACATTTTTTGCGAAAACGAACATTATTCGCATTTCATTTTTTTTAATAATCTGTATATGACCAGCTTGTTTTCTTTTTTTTCTTGTTCTACTATTCCCTAGTATTTACAGGACTTTTTAAATATCAAGAAGCAACTTTTTCTTTTTTAGTTAGCATTCATTCGATTTTGCTTTTTCATTTCATTTTACATCTTTCTAGTTAGCAACTAAAATAAAAAATGTAAATTCGTAAGTTAATGTATAAATAAATTAATTACATAAGATGAACATAAGATTATCCAAGAATGATGATAAAATAAGAAATTAATAAGAATCTGCGATGCATCGACAGTGATAATTGTCCTTATCAAGCGTTGTACAAAGTTTGTCATTAAATTATTTTTTTGCTTTTTTTATCCAAATGTGGTGTTAAAAATATGATAATGGAATGGTAGGATGATGCTACTAGTAAAAGAGATAAGCGGATTGTGTTCTTCTTCCATCCTATCATGTCCCTCTTGCACTTTCATGATAAATATGCTTTCTTCGTACGATTATAATGTACGTTTTTATGTTTATACATGATTCATAAAATAAATCGATTCTTCAATATATCATCTTTTCAAATCATTGTCATTGATAAACATTTTAGTTAAATTCTGTCAGGATTATCAGATCAAAAAGTTATATATTGAATGTTTCTCTGAAAACTCTGAAAAATTAAGGCGTTTTTTTACACTAGTTTGAAAAAAATCAGTATATAGTTATTTATCATTTTAATAGAATATATGCATTTAATTAGCATCTACTTAACTACATACAGCTCAACGGAAATTAGAAATCGATAATAGTTATATTGTTTTAATCAATCTCTTCCTAGAAGAAGCTTTTTTAAATAGTGAATCGAACTCATTATCTACGTCTGAATGAAACTCAAATTAGGATATAAAAAATATCATGCGAGAAAGTAATTTCATAAGCTTAATATTCAATTGATATCGAGGAAACTGTTTATTTAGATAATTTTTTTACGACAATACAGAGTGTTTAGTTTATTTCGAAAACAATTCTGAATTCAAGGATGTGCTTATTGTTATGAGATTCAAATCTCTACAATATAGAACGATATTAAAAGAATGAAAATAATATTTGAATTGCTAATAAAATTTTAATTAGATATGATAATGAAACACACCAAAGATGAGATCTAAAGAAAATATCACAATTCCGAAGAAATTGTCAAGCCACAAAGTGTCGTGGAAAAATGTCGAAATTCGGAACTTTTCTTGTAATTTCCTAAAATCTACTAACCTTGAATCAAACTTACATATGCATATCCTTTCTTGGTGGTGTTGTATCATCTCTGAATTGATGAAATGTGATCCTTTTTTACTTTATTCGTTTATATTGTGATATTCTTTTGTTTATACAGACGCGATGTATATAATACTGCTACTCACATCCACCCTCAAGATGGTGACAGTTGAACAAGTATTACTCTTGCAGGAAGTGATATTGGTGATACCCATTTTTCTGCTCCATATGATGTTAAACTGGATTCACAACATAACCTGTATGGCAGTGAGAGTAGTCTTTAAGAGAAATCAATCGAACTAACTCTTCATTATTTAATGACATTTTCCTATAGATCCATTTACTGTTTTTGCCTATTTAAAGTGAGAAGTGACAACATTATTTAATGTACTTTATTTTGGCACATTTTTTGTTTTTATTTTTCTCAATAAAAATATTTCCACTTTATCTTAAATCATACAAAAAAAATCTATAAACAAATTCTATTTTTTCACAAGAGAAAAACACAAATTGATTTTATGGAAGGCTTTCTATGAGTTTCCATTCAAAAACGTGTAGTATGAATTCATACTTGATCGAGAGTGAGTGTGCGGGTATATGTATGAGATTAATTCAAACAACCATAAACCCCCCCCCATATTAGAAGCCCCCTGGGCTTCTAATTTGGCTACCGTTTATAATTTTTGGAGGGGGCTTCTATCAGGTCCCAAAAAAATTTCATAGACTATGATAAGGAAACCGATTCGGAAGGTTTTTAAAGTTTTCCAAGGTTTTCATGAGTTTTTCAGAAGATTTTTTGCAATTTTTCCAGATTTAAGCATAGTTAGATAGGAGTTAGTCAAAATTTTACCTTAAAATCGAGAAATTTTAGCAACTTTAGCAAAGAAATTCGAAAAAATTATGAAAAATTTTAAAAAATTTTGGAAAAATTAGGGGGGCTTCTAATACGTCAAACACGTTGCTCATCTCAGGGTGGGCTTCTAATACGGGGGGGCTTTTAATGTGGGGTGGGCTTCTATTATAGGGGGGGGGTTTACGACATTTTTCGACATTATGTTTGAATAACAGAATGTGTAAGTGAACGTGTAAATATAAATAATAACTACTATAATCTAGGTTTAACTCAAATTAAAGAGAGAAATATCAGATGGTTGAGAATATCTGCATAATAATAGATAAAATGAAATTAAAAAGATATGAAAAGATATTCTTCAATATTAGAATCCATTTAGTATAAGTAAATGATCATTACATCAAAATAAATGGTTTCGATTACGAGCAACATTATTGCACTGTTTATTTTTTGGAGGGAATGTATTTAGAAACTTTTAGACGCAGAGATGGAATCGATCGGTCCAGTTCAGTTTTGAGTGTGTGGGTTATTGATCATTTCATTGATACTCACGCCCATATCCACACTCTCAAGTTTATACAAATTTTATTAGTATTTCTCCCTATAATTTCAACAGTTCACATAATTATACAATTAATTAGAAAGTATAAATTATGACACGATATCAATATTGGTTATTTTATAATGAATCTTCACTTGTCGTAAGACTCAGTTTTTTCTTTGCCATTATTTTCGTGATACCTACATCTTCAAAATATACTTGATCTTTTAGAATCAGTAGCACTTTATTTATTTTCAAAGGGAGAATTTTACTGATTGCTCAAAACGAATGATCTTGTTTTGAACAGATCGAAGAAAAATAAGTAAGCCTATGAAACTTTTCTATATTGTTTTATACGTATAAAATTAATATTTTGAACTTTGAGTAATTACAATACATATAGTTCTATGCATCCAGAAAAGTTCCATAACTAGAAATGTTGTTATTAAATAATCAATCACTATCCGATGCATGGATACTAATTTATTTGTCATTAATATCCATAATCGCCAAGTTTTATTGAAGTTATTAATATCGAGAGGAACCTAAATAGCAGTTCGCATTGTATAATGTTTTATAATCATAATGTTTTTAGTAGAGCAGTAAAGTGTTAATGAGTAAATAAAGGTTAATCATCGATAAGCCTTAACAATGTAAGAGAATACCGACGTTGTTCGAACCAGAGTTTGCAACAATAATATCAGGTTTATTGTCGTTATTCACATCGACGACTGCTACTGTTGTTGGGCCAGGGGAGACCGAGTAAGTAGTTTGAGCATAAAAGGTGCCACTGCCTGCGTTTTGAAGAACACCGACATTGCTCGAACCATAGTTTGCAACGATAATATCGAGTTTACTATCGTTATTCACGTCGACGACTGATACTGACCATGGATTTGTGCCAACTGGGTAAGTAGTTTGAGTATTAAAGGTGCCATTGCCTGCGTTGAGAAGAACACCGACGGTATTCGATTTATAATTTGCAACAATAATATCAGGTTTATTGTCGCTATTCACGTCGACGACTGCTACTGATACTGGGTTAGTACCAACGGATTAAGTAGTTTGAGCACTAAAGGTGTCATTGCCTGTGTTGAGAAGAACACCGAGGTTGTTCGAATCAAAGTTTGTAACAGTAATATCAGGTTTGTTGTCGCTATTTACATCGACGACTGCTACTGACCATGGACCTGTGCCAACTAAGTAAGTAGTTTGAGCATTAAATGTGCCATTGCCTGTGTTGAGAAGAACGCCGACATTGCTCGAGCCATAATTTGCAACAATAATATCAGGTTTATTGTCATTATTCACGTCGATGACTGCTACTGACCATGGCTGTGCGACAGCTGAGTAAGTAGTTTGATTAAAAAACAGATTGCAGACTATGAAAACAAAATTATTTTTAGTATTTTACATCGTTTATAAACAAAAAGTCATCTTCGAATTCGTTAGAATTTGCATAACATTGCTTTAATTAGCACTGAGGCGATGAACAGAATCGTGTAGTCTTTTTTTTGAATAGTTTTCGATACTCTCAAGTCTAACTGAAATAAGCTTTTGGTTCATTCTATGCGCTGTTTCACACAATCTCCTAATCGACATAAAAAATGGCTTTATAGAACTGAAATTCTGTTTGTTTCATTTTACATTTTTTGTCTACTGTGATGACACTCTTCATAATGTTTTTTTCAGAAATTTAACTTGACTCTGTTTTAAACTTGATCTAATACCAAAACGAAAGAAAACTATTCTTCGTCGAATTTATTAGACTTTTTGATGTCTGCATATAGTGAGATGATCGCACTATATTTTTCGATATGGAATAGTTAAAATATTTTCTATTGATTAAATCAAGCTATGATTTTTCCATCTTAAGAAGTTTCTTCTTTAACAAACTCGTCTTATTTATTCGGGTTTGAGATGATTCAAAGTACTAAACACTACATTTTTAAATCTCGTGAAACTATTTCTCTTTTTAACATCTGGTGTAAGCATTAAATATTTATTCCCACACTCACCACTTGTTGTCGTTGATGTTGTTGTTGAAGTTGATGATGCTGAGGTTGATGATATTATTGTTGGTGTTGATGATGACGTATTTGGTTCTATTTTGAAAAATGGAGTTAACATGAGACAAGAACATTGGATAAGGCTTTGTTAAATATCTAGCATTTCTTACTCCACTAATCTAGTTCATTTTTTGTGGATGACTTCATTTTGACAACGAATACTAATGATTAGCGAACCCCTCAAATTACAATCAGTGAAAAATATCATTCATATGAGCAAGTTTTTTAGAATTAAAAAAGCATAAATATCAAATTCATTCAAATTACTGGAATTCCAGTCTATAAGGAGCTATGATATGTTTCCACTGTTACTAGATGAAAACCTGAAAGTCATATCTGAAATAAACTTACGATATTCTCGAATATTTAATATTGATATTGAAGATTGGTTGAGAAATAAAAAAAATGAATTTGAATAAAATTCAATATAAATTGTACTAATATTTGAACGAAATAGTTGACAAGTTTGATTTGTTGAAAAATAATTTAAAGCAGATATTGAATCATTCACTTTTATCATTTCACATATACATTGATTTTCTGTCACATTGAATAAATTATTATACATATTCCCAGTTATTATATAGCTCTGTACTTTAGCAATAAGAACAGTTACAAACAGAAAATAATGATAAGAAAAATATTAGGAAAAACATCTTATATTCCTATACTTTCTAAAAAATTTTAAAACTGTTTGACTAACTTTTTTTACTATTCTTTTTCTTTTTTTTTCTACAACACTCTTTCTCTTTACTTAAATAATTATTCATTCCAGAAAAAAAGAACGTCATACGTTTTGCAACAGTTTTTGTTTTCTTGTTTATTTAACTATTTAGGGGAATGAATTCGCCATCGTCGGGATATTAACAGAGGAAAGATGTGAACAGTTCTGTTCTTAATTAAATTGTCTTTTTAAAGTGCTTACCAAATATTAAGAAAGGAAAAAAAAAGATGACGATATTAACTAATGACTTGATTTATAAGCTCAATAAACACATGTGTCCGATGAGAAAAAATTGCTTCCGCTTATTTCATATGTAGTCAACGTAGGCATTGACAGCAACAGTGGTAAATATTTGAACATCATTCATAACATATACACTTAACTACATTGTTTTAATCATCTTTCCTTCTATGAATATGGTACTCGCTTCGTTTGGCTCTAAACAAATGCTGTTTCTTTCTTTTTTTTTTCGCCTTTGCATTTTTTCTCTTCATTTTCATCATCGATGTCTTAGCATAGAAGAGAATCGATAGAATGCGATAAAAATGAAAGAAAGATCGTCAATTGTTAATGTTTAGGATGGTTTTTCTTGTCGTTTCTTCATATTCTTCACAATATCATTATTCAAAAACTGTTTTATTGACAGCCATCTTTTTATTTTTGTTGGTACTCTTTCAAATTATAGGTGAAAATAAACTGCCAGTTGCTGATTTAATATGAGTCAGCTTTTTCTTTATGTTGTCATGGAACTTATTTGTACATATTTTCCGATAACAGATTCTCTGATTAATATAATAAAATTTGAATGATAATTGACGCGTTGTTATCCCTAACATAACTATATATTGTTAATATGAAATCTTGAGGGTGTGAGGGTGTGGGTGTTGCTTTTCCTTCTCGTACATACCCACACTCTTAAGATAGTTTATTGAATATTCAGTCTTTTTCATACTTGAAAATTATGTTCAGGTAGTATTAATTTCATAATAAAATAATTAGTAATTGGTAAAAAAAATGTATTATTATATATTCAAACATTGTTTCAAATGTAGAAAAGAAAAAAAAGACCAAAGACAAAAGAATTCTTTTTTTCGTCAATATGGAATTTTTTAATTGAATATGCAAAATAATTATTTGCTAGCAAATTCAAATAGTTAAAATCTAATCAAAACCAATCTAATGCATCAGGCTTAATCCTTGATGAGCTTGCTATAGGTTTATTGATATTTAAATTTATTTTATCATTGATTATAAACTTTATATGTACGATTTTTTAAATCATGAGCAACAATAAACAAATGAAAAGATTTTATTCCGCGAAGAGAAGGTTTTCGTTGTTAATATTGATGTAAAAATTACGACAAAAACAAGTAAAACACAAACATAAAAATATATACTTCAATTTTTTTTTAGTTCTATTTTTCAGATTTAACATGCTCAATAGAAGAATACAATCAATCGTTCATACATAGTATTTAATGAATTCGTTATATTTAGTCAAATAATTAATTTACAAAAAATTTAGAAGTATTCATAATCTGGTTAGAATATGTTTACTTTTTAAAATTCCTATTTGTATAGAGCAGTTAAAGTCAAAATCGATTCATACATGACTGTCAATATTTCATTTGATAGTACATCAAAATGTATATTTAACAAGATTGGAAAAGTTAAAATTGTTAGGAATTCTGAACTTGAATTGACTATCGACTTGTGAATGTCATTGATAGAGCAAAACCACCTCACCTTCACTTGCCTGCCAACTGTAATACACAATGAATTTTTCAATCATTCAAACATACATTCAAATACACTTTTTTTCTATTGTCGAAGCCAAACTTTTGATTAAAATGATGAATTTGTTTATTCAAAACATGAAATTTACATTAGATGTCCGAATCCGTTGAAATGGGCTTCTTATTGATTATTTTCATTGTATAAAACATACATATATACATGTTTTTACTTTATTCACTTCAGATCGAAATCAGCTACCAATCCCGTGATATTATACATAATGGTAGGCGGACAACACTTCGACTCGTTATCAGATCCAGCATCGCCCAACCATGCAAGTCATTCTTCTATCCAGCGGATTGTCTGGGCAGAGGATGATGATAATAATCAGTAAGTACAATATCGATTTCAAGATGTTTATATATCTCATCTTGTAATGACAGAACTGATCAAAAGAAGTCCGTTGGCTGGCATCTGTGTTTGAAATGCTGTGTTATTGGATCATTACTAGCTGGAATAGGTTTAGCTATTGTACTCACATTCTGGTTGACCTCGAAAACAACTGCAACGGAAACATTAAGTATGTCATAATTAAAATTATCGTTTTCATGTTGATTATTTTGTCTTTTTGTTCATCACATGGAAGAAAAAAATAATTGCTCTTCTTAAGTGTATGGCCAATTTCGCCTTCTAAATAGTGATGTTAATAGATAGAATCGAGATCTAAAACTGTGGATCAGTCATACGCTTGTATCTTTTACAACCCATAGGTTATATCGATTTTAACTATAGTTCTTACTTAGTTTTCGACAAATTTCTTGGAAAAAATAACACTTTCAAAATCTTTATTATACAGTTTAATATGTGTTGATTTCCTATTTCCACTGGTGTAAATCGTAGATCTCTATTACATTGCATTCAACAGTTATAAGCATTTTGTCCAACTGTCCTTTTCTAAAAAATTGATAATAGCTGATCAATTGATCTGCATGTGTTAATTGAACGGATAGTTCATCAATTGAATTCAATGACTAAAAGGAACGATTTGTTATCGTTGCACTCAAGATTTTCGACCGATCCATCTTCACCAGTTACCTCGTCCAATTGATAATAGTTTGTGAGCAATATCATAATGAAATCGAACAAAGTATCTTTTAGAGTAAGCAAGTCATCCATTTCTAAGAGAAATATTTGACAAGTGTTGATGATTGGTAAAGATTTATTAAGAAATTTCAATGACAGCTGGAACCATGGTGTTTTATTTTTCGTTCACTAGCTTCAGAGAATAAAAACCTTTTGTTCTGAAATCATAGAAGAATTATCATCTCTTTCAAACTATATTAGTAAGCTGTTGCGATGATATTTGACTTAGTCTAATGCCTTTTTGTTCTTTCAAATATATGATTTTTAATTGTAATTTATGATTTCATGCTTTTTTAGTCTCGACAACATTAACAACAATATCAACAACATCAGCAACAACATCAACATCAACAACATCAACATCGACATCAACATCGACATCAACATCAACATCGACATCAACAACATCAACATCAACATCAACGTCAACATCATCGACATCAACATCGACATCGACATCGACATCAACAACATCAACGTCGACATCGACATCAACAACCGCAATACCAGGTATGGGACGTATAGTTCTCTCGAATAGACAGTAGTACGAACGTAGTTTTTATGTATGAAGGGTGTGGATGTAGGTGTCAGTATAAGACACAGAGATATTCACATCCACACCCTCAGCCATCCATACCCACCCACATTCACATCCAGACGCTCACCCACACCCCACTCCAGCTCTTTCTTCCAAGCTCTCCTACTCTGTAAAACGTCGGCTTCATTATTCCGTTCTAACATCTCGTTTTTTACCGAGTTCCAGATTGAATTAACGATAGCTTTCAGGAAAAAAATATAGAATGCAAAAATTCAAAGTCCATTTAAATCTCATCTCTTCCTAGAGCGAGCAAATAAGATTTAAAAGAAAAACAATGATTATAGGCCAGGGAAGGCCATTTTAATTGTATTTATTCATCTTAAGCCAAATGTTCCAACAACAACAACAACCAGATTCAGCTGGGTCTGATACGCTTCTGGAGAAACTAGTTGAGGGAGTTGTCGAAAGAGTGATTGACAGTGATATTAAAAGGGTTCTTCAGATGATTTATCGAAAGCTTTCGGAATAACTATCGAGAGAAGTGTGGAAAGAGTTGCTGAAGTGGGTTTCGAAACAGTTCTTGAGAAAGTTGTCAGCTTGGTGAGAAGTGTTTTGATCAAAATCGGACTATTTTTAAACATCAAAAATATAATAGACTAAAAACATATTAGTTATTTCTTAACAAAATTTTGGTAGAAGCGTTAGTGAAAACGTTTTAGATTATAATCTCGTTTTAAACTACTCTACGACGAAAACTATTTCATAGAAGATTCTTAGAAATATTTCACATGTAAACCAGATGACTACTACATTTGAATATTCCTTTCTAGTGTGGGTACTTACTGGCAGCATGAACACTGGACGATATCATCACACAGCATCCATATTGGCAAACGGAAATGTCTTAGTGGCTGGTGGATACAATGGTGCCTTTTTGAGTAGTGTAGAATTGTATGATACATCTACTGGAGTCTGGACAACTACTGGCAATATGAACACTATACATGACATTCACACAGCATCTATATTGTCAAACGGAAATGTTCTAGTTGCTGGTGGGCAGGATAGTAGTGGTCCCGCAGTGAGTGGTGCAGAAGTGTACAACCTATCCACTGGAGTCTGGACAACTACTGGCAGTATGAGTACTGCACGCTTTTTTCACACAGCATCCATATTAGGAAATGGAAATGTCTTAGTTACTGGTGGATACGATGGTAGTTTTTATTTGAGTAGTGCAGAAGTGTATAATCCATCTACTGGAGTCTGGACAACTACTGGCAGTATGAGTACTGCACGAGAAGTCCACACAGCTTCCATATTGGCAAATGGAAATGTCCTAGTTACTGGTGGATACGATGGTACTACCGTACTGAGTAGTGCAGAAGTGTATAATCCATCTACTGGAGTCTGGACAACTACTAGCAACATGAACACTGCACGAGAAGTCCACACAGCATCCATATTGGCAAACGGAAATATTTTAGTTGCTGGTGGATTCAATGGTGCCTTTTTGAGTAGTACGGAAGTGTATAATCCATCCACTGGAATCTGGACAACTACTGGCAACATGAACGGTGTACGGGCATATCACACAGCATCTATATTGACAAATGGAAAAGTCTTAGTTGTTAATGGAAAGCATAGTAGTAGTACTTATTTGAGTAGTACAGAACTATATGGATGACGATGATTCAAGTGGAAAGTTCTTTATTAAACTAAAACTTGAAATGTATTAATATATTTAATCTTCGATGCTTTGAAAACACTAATGTGCCATTCGCGCAGCATTCAGTTATTGCTTCTCTCTTTTTCTTTTGCGTGTTATTAATTATCACTTTTGTCTGCTTTTCTCTCTTTTTCATCATTGATATGTATGTCGATCGTTGTCTTACATACGATTCTTTCTTTATGCGTTTCTCTTTTTACATTTCATTCTCAATAACTTATGCGACCTCTTTTTTCGAGATTTATTGTGTTTTTTAATAAATTCTAGAACTTATTTGTTTAATCGGAATTATTGCATTTTCTCGATAAATTTCGGAATTTATCGAATAACTTTGAAAAAAAGAGACAACATATCATCAGTTTATCATCAGTTTCAGAATTGTATTTGATCTGATATAGATTTTCTTCCCATTGGCTTATTGCTTTAAAAAAATTCTTTTCCTTTTCATAATAAATATTGTTTACTATTCTTAATTAACATCAATATATTCTATATTATTTGCCTTTTATTTAATGATACTGTCTTTGAAATGTGATAATAGATAAAGATTTTGAGTTACAGTAGCTGTGTTAAAATTGTCGAAGGATTATCTAAAGGAATAATTAAATATGTATTCCAATAGATATATAAAATAACAATTTTCGACATATAAACGAAAAATGATACAAAAGCATAAAATATTTGCATAAATAGAAAAGTAAGAAGAACATGTAATCAATAATAATTAAATAGTTTTATATATCATTTGTTTTAAATGTTTTGAGTTTTATTCAGTTATTTGAGGTATTTCAATAACAAAATATTTTATTTTATTTTTCCGAATTTTTCTCTTTGTTCGGCTCACGTATTAGTAATATTGGGCGATCGAGTTCTTTTATTTGTTCTTTTTAATTTGGCTGATGGTAGTGAAACATAAGTATTAGTTATTTTTATCCATTTATTATTTATATTATCAAACAAGTTGAATGTTTTGATTTAATACCAGAGGTTTAAATCCATTTGTTTTCACTAGTTAGATTCAATACATCCGTATGTAAATTAGTATTAAAAACAGATAGCAACACAAGCCTATCTTGTTGAGTACTGCCGGTGACAAATTGATAAGCTTTTATAATGAAACAACAAGAGAAGATCCAATAGTGCTCGCATCCATTCAAGACTACTGGTAGTAGACGGGTATCTCTCTCCATCCAGGAAAACGAGCGTTCGCCACATTGTTTATGGATCATATGTAAATCTAGAAGTGTCAAATGATTATAGTTAGAAATTAAAATATTTATCTACCTTGATTAGAGAAAGAAGATATGTTTGCTTTGTACCAACTTCCAAAATGGTTCTCTTAATGAGATCAGCCAGCGTAGAACTTGATATTTCTAAAAATATTTCAACTTGGTATGTTGATTATTAGGTTGTCAACATTATTACGAACTAATCGAATGCGACAGCAACCATCATCATCAACTACAGATAAACAAAAAAAGAGATTATTAGAAAATGGCATCTATTTAAGCACAAAGTAAAAATATATAAATGCAAAATTGATTTCTGCTAAGTAAAATTTATATATACTTAGTAAATAGCTTGGATGTTCAATAAACTGACTGAAATAATGCTCAATTAAAATATTTTCTTAATTCATTTATTAATATATAAGTTAAATATTTAATTATTAGGTTAATCTATTGAATTGATCGATAAAAAAATACATTTAGTGAGTAGAAGACACAAATTAGTTAAGGAAGAAAAGAACTGACAAGTCGTTATTTTTCGTTCGGTTTTTCGAGATCATTTCCTTTTATACACGTCACATATACTCGGATTCTTTCATTTCTTGAGGAATGAGTGTGTGTGAATGTCATATACATTCGCACTTACACCACGACCACCATTATGCCTTTCTTCTCGAACTATATGCATTTTATTGAATTCTCAGACTATAGCAGAATAATAAGAAAAAAAATTGACAACGAGGAATATTTATATGAAATTTCATTCAAGAATAGATCTCATGGTTCTTATAATAATCTAATGGTTTCACCTCAAACAACTATTCATCTACATCCATCATACCCTCACTTTTACTTATTAAATCATTGTTTGATTTATTTGTATCTATTTGGTATTGATAAAACTCTATTTTTTACTGATAAAGGTTGAAATTTTTACAGGTACTTATATCTAATAAAGTGATCACTTCACAATTATTTTTTGGTGATTCCAATATTGACCGTGTGTACATCTATTACATTGATCACTTCAATGGTAGTCATGAATATATCTGACATTTATATTCATATTTACTTTGTCTTTAAAAGAATGTGTATTCAGTTTTACTAATAATAAGATGTTTTTTTATTGACAACTACTGTTCGAATGGTATTTTATTTAGTTAATAATAATTTTACAAAAGCATTTAAGATTAAGTAGTTTGATTACAACATTAAAATTTATAATTCAGTCAAAAAATCAAAATATAGTTATAAAGATTTCAATCAATAAAGTTCAGCACTATTAAGAGCATTATTACCATTATATCCACCAGTAACTAATACTTCTCCATTTCCTAATATGGATGCTGTATGAGTATATCGTGCGACACTCATGATTCCTGTAGTTGTCCAACTACCTGTTGTTAGATCATATAATTCAGCACTACTGAGAAAACCATCATCGTCAGCTCCACCAGTAACTAATAGTTTTCCATTTTCTAATATACATGCTGTATGAACGTATCGTACACCACTCATGTTTCCTGTAATTGTCCAACTACCTATTGTTGGATCATATAATTCAGCACTATTGAGAGAAGTAATATCATTATATCCACCAGTAACTAATACTTTTCCATTTCCTAATATAGATGCTGTATGATCTTGTCGTGCAGAATTCATGTTTCCTGTAATTGTCCAACTTCCTGTTGTTGGATCATATAATTCAGCACTTTTGAGAGAAATAATACCATTATACCCACCAGTAACTA